CTAAACCTTCCTGTCTGACATTAAAAAAGAGCAAATAGAACTAATTTGTCTACATCAAAAGCTCTGCAGAGAATTTTCCCCACGTGTTAAGGATGTTAAGCTTGGTGCCTCTTTTGGTGAAAGTCATCGGGGATTGGCTCATCAAAAATCCTAGCTATAGACAAGTTTCTTATGTGGCTCAAGATGAATTCTATCTGCTCTACAATGCTCATTCCTTTGACAACCAATTGCTCCTTGGGTATGAGACAACACTAGCTCTAGGTGGGCCTCGCAAGTTACGATTCCAGGCTGCGATCACCTCTGCACTCGGTTCTCAGCAAGTGCCACCTCTACCAACGGAAAACTTCTCTATTTGTGCTTAAGAAAATCATCAGCATGTTTCCTAGGGAGAAGCATGGACACTTAGAAAACTTGGATCTGTGAGGTGTGATATCTCATTGCACCCCATATCCTACCAGCACCTAATGGCAAAATACTGCACAGGTCTATTGTTTCCGTTTCTCACAGTAGCATGGAGCCATTGTGGTGGGGGATCAACATCACACAGCAGCCAGCTATTTAGATAATGATATTTGTGGACGGTATCTGACAGAAGTACCAAGAACTATTGAAGAATTTTTTTTCAGGAGCAAAGAAAGAAAAAAAAGCTGGCCCGCCCAAAGAAAATATTCCAGTGAACAGAAAGGAGATGCCAACAAAAAGGACAGAGGCGCTCCTCCATGACATTCTGTAGAACAAAGGACACCATCCTGGGCTTGTGGTTTCAGTCTCTGGAGGAAAAGAAGTTCAAAGTCCATCACAGTCTTCCAAGATGACCATCTGTCATTTCTTACTCTTTAGGCTCTCAAATACCTGGTGCTCTGCATACCTCTTTAGTCCCAGGAAGAAAAGCATTTCTACCAGAAGCATGTCACTTAACCATCTGAGCCATGGCTTTTCCTTTTACCCCTCTTCTCTTACCTCTCAAATGTTTCCAAATGATATGACTGTATTTCTCTCAAGGCAAAGAGCATTTGGCTTTTCTCCCTCAGCTGAATAGATGAGAAATTTATAACTACTTTAGTAGTGTTTGTCATCTGCCTTCAGTTTGTGGACCCTGGTGCTGAAATTTATGTAACTGGTTCAGTTTAAAGGTTCAATTTCCTTTTAGCCTCTAGTGAGCTGGTACCTGAGGGTACACTGCATTTGGTGTCCAGTAAAACCTCTGGTGCTGTGAGATGAGATTGTGAACCTATTCTCCAGAAACTTACTTTTTATGACCCACTTCTTGTCTAAGGTCAAGCATCTCATTCAGAGGCTTCGTCTTCGCGGCACTCTGAATCCTGCACCCTGTACCTCCCTTTTATTAGCTGGTTCTTGTTTTGAGAAAGATGTTGGGGCCAGCAGCAGGAGCGCTTTTGTTCTGGGGAGTTCTTTGTTTGGGTCCTAAAGTGACCCCAAAAGGTTTTTTGTTTTTGTCTCTAGAAGAACAGCTTCTGCTATACTGCTCCTCTTTTGGAGAAAAGAGAAAAGCTATGCCTTTTCTTATTATTATCTTTTCTGTTCCTACTTCCACCATTCCTTTGGTTCTCTCCCCCATGTGAATATCATCTTTTCTACATTTTACTCAGAAGGCAATTGAGGGGGAATTAGTTTTGTTGCACATGGACTTAGATTCATTGAGGGAAAGGGAGTGCTTGCCTTCCCGCACTAGAAGCATGAACTGAGACTTTGGGAATCTAGGGTTGTGGTCAGCCTCCAGGGATGGACTCTGACAGGTAAGTAAGGTATTTCAGTGGATTCAAAAGAATGAGAGCAGTATGGCATTTTTAATTATCCTAAGGCTGTGAATAATGTGCTGTGACTCAGTGTTCTTAATCTATATCCGCACCCCTCATTTCCACCACGGAAGACTTTGTGTGTGGTCTTTGGTCTGTTAGGTTCATGTTATATCTCATCCCTGATTGCCAAGAACACTTGAAATCTGATTCTACCTCTAATGACTACTTCTGACTGCTCCCCAAGTCAGGTTTTTGGATCATTAATCCAAAAATATTTACAGTTATCCCTTCCCATAGGATCCTAAATGTTTTCCCACATTACGTACTAAACTCCCTGGTCTCCCATATGTTTGTTCCCACAAATCAAGAGTACTTATGAGCCTTAAAATATGTGACAAGAACTTTTCATAGATCCAAAATTGGCGTTTGAATTATTTTTGCTGTGCCCATGTGGATGAAGTGAAATTGAGGCTTTCGACCAAGCTTGATGGCATCATGATGGCTGCCTAATATATGTAATCATGGCAGATGACAAAAGTATAAACCAAATAATGATGCCTGCTCACAGTTTAAACATTTATTGAACTCCATTCTGTTGTCCTAGAGATCCAAAGACTTCAAGAAAGCTTACTCTTTAGTAGAGAAGCCATGTAAACAGATAATTACAGAACTGTGTGATAAGTGCAGTGATAGAAATATGTACAGGAGCAAAATTCATTCAACATAAGTCATGGGGCATCTGCTGCATGCCAGACATTATAAACTTACATAGTGGGTTGATAGTGGAGAGTCAGATTGACAATCCTTGTCCTCGTGGACTCGCAGTCTAGTAGAGCAGACAGACGTTACACAAGTAAATAGATATGTCAGATTGTGACGAATGACAAGTAAAAACAGTGCTATGAGAAAGTGTGGCCGGGATTTAAGGGCAGAAAATAAACTTTTAGACTCTTAGAATCTGGAGTAAGAGACACATACTATGCTGAGACATGGAGAATGTGTACAAATCTGTTCTTGCTGCCCAAGTAGAGGCATCAGGAAAAACCTTGGCTAGTTACAGGTGAAAGGCCAGCATGGCTAGATAGTGGTAAACTTGGGACTGGAGGGGATGAGGTTTGAGAAGACAGCCAAGTTTCTTACCAGAGATTTTGGATTGAATTCTCAATACTGTGGGAAACCAGTGAAGGGTTTTTACATATTTGAAAAATCACTTTAGAATAATTTGGAGAAAGATTAGAAAAGGAGCAAGAGCAGAAATGGGGAAATCTTTCACCATGGTAGAAGTCTCTTGGCTATGGTTTTAGAGAGAGGTCATTATGGATTGGCCTGCAGCATTGCTAACGGATGTCAAGAAATGTGGACAGAATTGATAATCAGTTTCAGAGAAAGAATGAACAGAACTTGCAAATGTGATTGGAAGAGCGGATGGGGCTTCAGAAAAGATGACATTCAGTTCCCTGACTTGAGCAACTGAGTAGGTGGGTGTGCCATTTACTGAGATGGAAATGACTGGAGGAGGAGCATGTTTGTTGGGAAAGTCCAGGAGTTTAAGGGCAAATTTTATGCAGGTGCTGATCCTTAAATAGGTCAAACAAGAAGACGTTGTGAAAAGGTAAATATCAGATAGAGATGAGTAATAGAAATAGTAAGTGCTCTAAGAGTTGAGCAGCAGGAAAAATCAGCAGTTATTAGGGAGATTAGAGATTCTTGGAAGATTTGAGACATGATCTTGCCTGAGAGGAAGGCACAGGAAAAATATTACAAGTTGGAAAACTATATGAATAGAAATCCTGAAGCAGATAGGATCATGTGAGTTAAATCATTAGAACAAAACTGAGAAGGTTGAATCAGGAAATGAGAGAACAATAGTAGGGAAGGGTCCAGATTTGTTAGGGAGGGGTATCTAGAAGTATGATTGTCAAGCTGCAGTTGGTAACAGGTGGAGATTGGGATGATTAATCTGGTATTTATGTGTTGAATGAATTGAAATCTGGAAGATTGGTTTTGGGTTTGGGTTTTTGTTTTTTGGAAACTTGGTATCAAGCATAAAAATAAGGGTTTGGGTTATACTTGTGAATCCAGAGGGAATGAAAAGGAAAAGTGACAAGGATTCTACTGACTAAATGGGGAAAAGAAAGGAAGAATCAACATTTCAACATTGACTTTCAAGAACATAAGCCTTGGTTAATTAGAAAGATGATTTTCGGCAGAAGTGAAAAATTTGTGAATGGGACTAAGAAGTGGGTTGAATAAGAAGTTTTTTTGTTTTTGTTTTAAAGACTATTCATTTGAGAGAACACGAGCAGGAAGGGCAGAGGGAGAGGGTGAAGCAGACTCCCCACTGAGCAGGGAGCCTGATGTGGGGCTCAATCCCAGGACTGTGAGATCATGACCTGAGCCTAAGATGATTAACCTACTGAGCCACCCAGGCACCCCAAATAAGAATTTTAGACATTTTGAGACTGAGTTTCTGGTGGGGTGGGATGTCTTACGAGGAATATTGAATGGGAGTGGCCCAAACGTATTTGTGACTTCACAGTTTAAAAAAAATTAATGAAAAGGAACTGGGTTCTGCATTAAATTCAGATTGAGAGAGACCACTACTCAATAACTATGTTGCGAAGACAGAAAAGCTGAATGTCTTTATACTTTATTGTATGTGTCATATTGTGCTTCCCCCCCCCCTTAATTTGATTATCCTGCTCGATATTTTAAATGACGTTTTCTGTACTTCAGGAACAACTACTTTGATCACTGTTACTTTGTATGAGATTGTGCATTTGCTCCTTTTTTTCTTCATGAGTCTTCATATGTCCCTTCAACTTTCACCCCTTTTAGAATCTCTTTCAAACATGTCTGGTGGGGAAAAGCAGGTTCTAGGGGGAAGATGCTTCCACTTTGAAAACCTGGAGATTGAGATGATAGCATGGCATGTGTAAGGAATACTGAATTACTCCCTGATACCTGACAAATACTGTGACCCCTGCCAGAATCTTTGGCTTTGAGTCATACATTATTCTTCTTTTGATGTCCTAATCCTTTGAGATCCTGGAACCTACTAGTCTTTATTTGCTGACCAGTTGGGTGACTGTCTTCAAATTTTAGTCATGTTCTCACTGTTTGGCTGCCGTGTTTTAGAGAAAAATGCTTGGAGAGGGTGGGGGCTTCCTCCAATAAAGAGCTGAAGGGTTGGCTACCTTCAATTTCTTTGTCTTAGCTCCTTCTTGCTACCTCCCACAGAGATCCATATGGTTTTGGAGACGGTCGAGATACACGACGTGATAGATCCCCAATCCGAGGAAGTCCAAGGAGAGAGCCCAGGGATGGCAGAAATGGCCGGGATGCCCGGGATAGCAGAGCCATGCGAGATCCGCGAGACTTGCGGGACCACAGAGATAGCAGAGACATTCGGGATCACAGAGACAGCAGAAGTATGCGGGATGCTCGGGACATGAGGGACCTTAGAGACTTTCGTGATCTAAGAGACTCTAGGGATTTTCGAGATCACCGGGATCCCATGTACGACAGATACAGAGATATGAGAGACTCCCGAGAGCCCATGTACAGGTACATATACAGCCATTTGCTTGGATTTCTGTTGTTGTTTTTTTTTGTAACAGTCTTTTTATGGGTGTTCTGCTGAACTAATTGAAGGCTCTGTGAGGGCAGCGACTTTATCAGCCTTATTTTTCTAATGTCTAGCAAGTGGCAGATGTGCTACTCAATAAATATTTGCTAAATGTGTGAATGTTTGATGAATTATGCTTAGTGAATGAATCTGGATCTCTTCATGTGACCTATGAAAGGCAGCATTGTATAGATGGGAAAAAAAAGCACAAATCGTTTTCGCAGTGCACAAACACAGGGAAGATACACACGTGGCCAGCAGGTCTGTGAAAAGAGGCTCAACATCATTAGTCAACAGGGAAATGCAGTGTCAAAGCCACAGTGAGTTACCACTTCACACCTACTAGGATGACTATAATCATCTATTAAGGAAAACAACAGCAAATAACAAGCAATAACAAGTATTGACAAGGCGTGGAGAAATAGAACCCTCCATACATTGTTGGTGGGCATATAATAGTGTGGCTGCTATGAAGAACAGTTGGTGGGAGATTCCTCAAAAAATCAAATAGAGCAGAATTACTCTGACCCATCAATTCCACTCCTAGGTATATATCCAAAAGAGGGACTCAAACAATTACTTGTATGTAAATGTGCATAGCAGCACTCTTCACAGTAGCTGGGGGTGGACAAAACCTGAATGTCCACCAAGAGATGAATTGATACATCCATACAGTGGAATACTGTAAAATGGAAGGTAATTCTGACACCTGCTACAATAAGGATGATCTTGAAAACATAATGCTAAATGAAATAATCCAGACAAAAGAACAAGTGTTGTAGGAGTCCACTGACATGAAATATCTAGAGAAAGCAAATTCATAGACAGAAAATAGATTAGCAGTTACAGGGATGGGAAGTGAAGAGTTACTGCTTAATGGGTATAGAGTTTCTGTTCTGAGTGTTCTGCTCAGGGTGATGAGAACTTTGTGTTTCTTTGAAATACTATTTATATATGTATTTTAAACCATAGTTTTTAAAAAACACTTTTAGGTTTTTAGACAAGAGGGATGGAGAAACATCAAAATTAATATCCATAGTTATTGTCAGTTACTTTGCATTTACTTTAATCCAGGGACTATTCTGAGAGCTTTTTGTACATCCCCCCCCCCCCCCGGTCATTTTGCAATGATTGTTAACACAGTCACAGCCACAGAGCTGATAAGTGGTGAATTTCAGACACAGACCTTGTTTGTCTAATCTATATGCCCTGCCTTACTGTGTCGCTTCCTCACAGGGGACTGGGTGTTGAAGAATTCTGTATCTGAGTTTTACAGCATAGGTGAGTTTTAACTTTGTGAGCATTTCTTCCACTTTTCAGGAGAGAAAGCTCTTATGACCGATACCTGCGAATGGATGACTATTGCAGGAGGAAGGACGATGCTTACTTTGACCGCTACAGAGATAGCTTTGATGGACGAGGCCCTCCAGGCCCAGAAAGTCAATCTCGTGCAAAAGGTAAAGCAGCAGTTTATTTCTTTTACTGGTAGAACACTTGACAAATGAAACAGGAAATGAATAACCAACTGGAAAGGGACTAATGACTTGGTGGAGCATTCCACGAAAAAGAAATACAAATAGCCTGCTATAGTGTGTAGGGATCATTCAGCTTAAAAGTAAATCATCAAAATGCAAACTATTTTTAGAAAGTCCTGAAGAATAATTTAGAGAGAATGTGTATGTTATGATCTTGGCCTACAAGTAGTTCAGGATTCACAATAAGGCCTATAACTTATTATTTATTTTTTAAATAATGCTGTTTTGGGTTTTTTTTAAAGATTTTATTTATTTATTCATACAAGACAGAGAGGCAGAGACATAGGCAAAGGGAGAAGCAGACTCCCTGTGGGGAACCCGATGGGGGATTCAATTCCAGCACCCTGGGATCATGACCTGAGCCAAACGCAGATGCTCAACCACTGACCCACCCAGGTGCCCTGTAACTTATTTTTATAGAAAGGGACAGTCCATATTTCAGTTTTCCTTGTTGGTTTCTTACAGAGCGTTTGAAACGTGAGGAACGACGTAGAGAAGAACTTTATCGTCAATATTTTGAGGAAATCCAGAGACGTTTTGATGCTGAGAGGCCTGTTGATTGTTCTGTGATTGTGGTCAACAAGCAGACTAAGTAAGAATCCTTTGGCTATTTCTCCTGCGTAAGGAGAAAGGTTAGAAGAGAAATTAAAACTTCCTTTGGCAGTTGTACCCACTGAATTTGGGCTGTGTATTCTAGCATTGCTCTCCTGTGTTCACCCAGAGTTATGTCATTTATAGCTTAACAGAAAACCCATTGCAAACTGGCTCTGGCCCCAAAGCAAAATTTTAGTTTGCTTGACTGGGAGCTTCAGATATGGCCACATCCAGGGTCTCCAAACCATGTCATCAAGACTTGGTCTCTGTGTCACCTTCATTCTCAGACAAGCTTTCTACCTTAAAAGGCAGAAGGGCACTGATCCTAGACATTTATCTTAGCAGAAGCTTCTCTTTCCCAGTGCTTCCACCTAAAGGCCTGGAACTGTTTCTCACTGGACTGACCTAGCTCACTCTCCCATCCTTGAACCAGCAGTGCTGGGATGCCTTGATTGGCCAGGGCTAGGTCATATACCCATTCCTAGAGCTAAAGGTGCAGTTGGGCCTATGGAATCATGTGGACGGGGTAGGAGAAGGGTGCTTTCCCAAAGGAATATTGAAGAGAGGATATATGTTGGTCATGCAAAGCAATAGATGCCCCCTTGATGGAAAAACCCGAATCCCCAGTGCTTTGGGAGGCACATGTCTCTGCATTTGTCAGCCAAGCCTTCTTTGTGTAGTGCCATGATCTTGCAGAACTGTTAGGAGACCCTTCTAGCCAGTCCAGAGTTTACAGTACCTCTCTGCACACCTCTTTTTCACATTATTTCCTAAAGAGACTGAGCGGAGAGGCAGAAGGAAGCATAGCAACTTGCGGCTTGGCACTAGCTATCTTCCCTTTCCCCAGGTGGTTAGTAAATAACTTCATGTGTTTTCTAGCAGTTTGGGGTTAAAGAGCTAATTTCAAGGCAGAGACTAGGGAAATAGGTGTTGGGACACCAAGCGGCAGGAAGAACCTCCAGGCTCTGGGCTGCCTTGTCAGAGATAGATACCGCTTTAACTGTAGATGGCTTTTTTTTGTCCTCGACACATGATAATAGCTGTCATTTTCTGAGCACCTACTCTTCTACCCCTTTGCTGGTGCTTTACTTAAATTATTTTTAATCTTTACACTCCTCCCGTCACATATATATTCATTCAGCTCATTTCCCATATGTATGGCGAATCTAGGTACTGGGGCTGTGATGGTAAGCATGCACAGGGCCCCTTCCTGTTGTGGAGCTTACACCCTTGTCAGGCAGATGACAAAAATGGATGTATTGGTGATGAGCCCTCAGAGAAGAAGTACATCAAGGATCTAATTTAGATTGGAGAGAAGGTCAAGGGAATGACAGGAACTGAGCCATATTGTTTTGGTTTTATTGGTAAAGAAACAGTTTCATAAGAGGTTAAAGGATTTGCTTAAATCTTCACAAGTAAACAATAAGGCTGGGATCCAGACTTCTCTTTCTAGCATTAAAGCCCATGTCTTTTTCCATTATATTATGCAGCCACCCCAAAGACAGATACATGTTACAAATCTTAGGCAGGAGGATGGTGTTTAAGGAAGGACCACTGGCCTACAGGACCAAGAGAAGGACCTGGGTACTAAGTACTGTTCTGTTGGCAACTTGTGTGTGACCATTCTTAGCTAGTCATAACCACTCTGGACTAGTGTAAAAGACTAGTGTAAAAGAAGGAATTGGTCTAGATCCTTGGATCCTGAAGTGGACACTAGGGAGACACTGGATATGCTAAGATTTGAACTCGTGATAGGAGCACACTCCTGGCTGAGGTGCAGCAGTGTACAGATTGGGAGCTGGTCAGGGAGTGCTCACCTGGATCCTGTTTGTTTCTACAGAGATTATGCTGAATCTGTGGGGCGAAAGGTACGAGACCTAGCATGGTAGTGGACTTGATCTTCCTCAACACAGAGGTGTCACTGTCACAAGCCTTGGAGGATGTTAGCAGGGGTGGGTCTCCTTTTGCTATTGTCATCACCCAGCAACACCAGATTCACCGCTCCTGCACAGTCAACATCATGTTTGGAACCCCACAAGGTACGGAGGCCCAAGTATATCAGAATTCCAGAGGTAGTCACTAGTCCATTAATTCTTTCATACCTTACTCAGAAGAAGCAGATTTTGGGCAAATAACTTGTAGGTCACTCAAATATGGTAGGGCCCTTTTAGAAGCATACTGGAGAAGCCTGCATGGTCATTTCTTGAGTCTGATATTCTTTCAGTGGAGACAGTTCTGGGTCTACTGTATAGAACACCTTATATTTAGCCCATAGGTATAGACAGTAGGATACTGGCAAATGTTTAACAACTAGTTCTGGGGAGGGATCAGGAAGCAGTGTGGTTGTGGTTTACAGCATTTGCTAATCTCTGTGGTGTAAATGCTCCCACTTTGTCCTGTTTCAAGCTACCAACATGAAGTCACTTGAGAAGAGACGTGCACCCTGGCGCACACTGCACTGAGTGCAAGAGAATCCTTGATTTCACCAGACTTCGTGATAAGGGACAGAGAATACAACAGGCGATGAGGATACTGTGTACAAGTGTATTAGAGGAGCTGAAGGGGCAGAAGGGCAAGGAGGAGGCCCAGGAAGCCCTTGAAGCCCTTCCCTGAAGTCGCTTTTAGTAGTAGTAGTAGTCCCAACTCAGAATGTTGGGACTCGGCCAACTGACGCCCTGGTCATTGCTCCTCCAGAGCAGACTTTTACCTCTTCCCACCACACTTGGAACCTCTTTACCTGATGGGTTGCGCCCATAACCATAAAATACATAAGGCTCTCCACTAGGTCATTTGGTCATTTGTCTCTCGAGTAGTTCTCAAGATGTGTGAGGACATTTATGTAAAGTTCTGAGGCTTCTTACCACCCTGTAAGTCATGTTGCCCCCAGCTGAGGAGAGGAGGTTATTTAGGGTCACATTTGATCTTAATCCATGACCTTTGAACTGATGAATTCAAAAACAGTAGGCTGGCTCTGTGCTGAGCATCTCAGTGGAGAGCAGGCTTTACAGAAGGCCTTTTTTGGCACCCTGCGGCCTGCCTCCCATGGTTATTCCCTATGTGGTCTTTTTGAATCTCTGGGAGATGGTCGTGTTTCTTTGATTTTTGCTACAAGTCTGTGATCTAGGAATTCCCCCAAAGAACCAGCTCTGTGAAAGGTGTGTGTTCCCCACCAAAGAAATCTATTCACTTATCTTCCCAGCCTTCATCTCCTTCCTCTCTGCTCCCTATCCCACAGCTTTTTGTCACCAAAATGGTTTTCTTGCCGGTTTGAGGTTATGAAAGGCCCGGTAGAATCCAGCAGGTAGGCACTCAGGTGTGTCAGGGGATAAAATAAGTCCTGTCATTCTCTCCTGCAGAGCATCGCAACATGCCACAGGCAGATGCCATGGTGCTAGTGGCCAGAAATGATGAGCGCTACAAGAACGAGTGTCGAGAGAAGGAACGTGAGGAGATTGCCAGACAGGCAGCCAAGATGGCTGATGAGGCCATCCTGCAGGAAAGGGAGCGTGGGGGCCCTGATGAAGGAGTGCGTGGGGGGCACCCTCCAGCCATCCAAAGCCTCATCCACCTACTAGCAGACAACAGGTACCTCACTGCTGAGGAGACTGACAAGATCATCAACTACCTGCGAGAGCGGAAGGAGCGCCTTATGAGGAGCAGCACCGACTCTCTGCCTGGTGAGCTACGTGGCAGGGCCGAGGTGAAGTTCTGACTCTGCATTTCTCTAACCCCCAGGCTCTGTTGGGAGGGTGGCAGGCCCAGGCTTTTTGGGGTGGGTAAGGGGAATGAGCTCATGCCCTGGGTTCTCCCATGGGCTGTCCTTGCTGATATAATGGTAACTTAAGATCTGGGAGCTGAATTTCATTCCCTGTAGTTAATGTGGTGTTGGGTGGGCTAGGATTGCTGGCCACCTGGTAACCGAGATGGATGCCCTTTTTTTCCTTAAGTAGTCCTCTGGGGCAATTAAGCTGTTTTCTGGAGACAGCACATACCATGAAGTAGCCCCTTTGGGAAGTTGATGTTATAGTCTGTATATCATGTGATTAATGTGATCAGTAATTGTTGTTCTTCCCTGGCTGCTAAGCCTCCTGCCCATGGAGGGTATTTCAACCCGATACCTCCTCCTTCTGTCTTTTAGGCCCGATTTCCCGCCAACCACTCGGGGCGACCTCGGGTGCCTCGCTGAAGACACAGCCAAGCTCCCAACTGCTCCAGAGCGACCAAGTGCTCCCCTCTGCTACACCCACTCCAGCTGCACCCCCCACCTCCCAGCAAGAGCTTCAGGCCAAAATCCTCAGCCTCTTCAATAGTGGCACGGTTGTGGCCAATAGCAGCTCTGCATCCCCCTCAGTCGTTGCCGGAAACACCCAGAACCAGAATTTTTCCACAGCAGTGTACAGCCAGCCTCAGCAAAGATCACAGGCCTCTGGCAATCAGCCTCCAAACATTTTGGGACAGGCGGGATCTGCTCGGAACATGGGCCCCAGGCCTGGGGCTCCTTCCCAAGGGCTCTTTGGCCAGCCTTCCAGTTGCCTGGCACCTGCCAGCAACATGGCTAGCCAGAGGTCTGTGTCTTCCACAGGTATCAACTTTGACAATCCAAGTGTACAGAAGGCTCTGGACACCCTGATCCAGAGTGGCCCTGCTCTCTCCCACCTGGTTAACCAAACCACAGCACAGGTGGGGCGGCCCCAGGCCCCGATGGGATCTTACCAGAGGCATTACTGAGGCTAATCTCTCAACTACCCCCAGTCCCCTCACCCCCTGGCCTCCCACCTACTTCGTTCAAATAGTTATTTGGAGGATGTTCTCTGCGCCTCTCCAGGTCTACATCGAATGTTTCTACCACCTGCTCTCTTCTGCCTGAGGCTGTGTTGCTTATTCCTTCCAGAGTCAGAGTTTATACTGCATTTGGGGGTGTATCTTTTTTTGTTGTTTTTGTTTTTTGTTTTGTAGAAAATAAATATCTCTGGGGTCACTTGGGCAGTATAGGTGTCTCAGTTTATATGTCATGGGTTACTCTGGTCTCCGTCTGCTGTATATGGAGGTTGGGGGACAGGAGGAAGCCAAGCACGATCGGCTGAGTTTAGAATGGCATTTCATGCCAGTCGCCACCGCCTTTGTTCATTTTGAATCTACCAAGGTTTTCTAGCTTCGCGCAGGCCGACCGGAGCTCAAGCTCCTGTTCTGTAACTCCTGCCTGGGGTTGCAGAGGGCTTGGTCTGGGCTTGGTCTTGGCTTGGCCAGCAGTGTTGTCGTTGTCGTTCCTCATCCCATGTTTATGGGGCCTGCTTGAGGATTCATAAATGAACTGTTCTGGAGTTGTTGAGAGGTGTCCATGGCAGCCATAGAAGGAAGCACTTTTCTGCATCATCCAGGGTGTTTGGTTTAGGGTTTTCTCTCTTTTTTTTTTTCCTCTCTATTTCATTGGAGTTTCTCCAGTGGACTGAACAGCTCCAGTCTCCAGCAGTTCAATAGGAACTGTGAATCTGGACCCTGACCACTCACCCCCTTAACATTTCTGTCAGCCTCTTCCTCTCCAGTGCTAGTTTTCATGGAGGCTCTGAAAAGGCAGCTGGAGACTCTGGCAGGGAACACCCCCCCTTTTTTTTTTCCAAGTGATTGAGCTTTTGGCTCAGAAATCAGGCTCTTATTTTCATCTGGACTCTTGTTCTGTTTTCTGAGCAGCAGGAGGTAGGGACCATTTTGATGTCAGACTTTTGGTAGCTGGACATGTCCTTGTTACAGGTGGCTGTTCATAACTTTTGAGCCAGAGTGAAATTATTAGAGGGAGGACTTCTGGCTGCTGCTCTAAATGGAGCCAAAGGAAGCTGCCCTCTCCCTAGGGATGGTGCTCATTAGAGCCCTGTGGATCACAGTCTCAAGGGGCCCCTGGCAGGGACGAGGAAGAGCAGTGACTTCAGCTGAGTCCCTGCCAGTGGCTGAGCAAACAATGATTTCAAAAATTCAAGGTCCCCAGGTGGCAGCGTTTTATGTTCTGACCTGTTTGTGTTATAGAGTGTTTTTTTTTTCTCTTTGGAATTCTGTGTTGTTAATAAGATGAGATGATTACTTTTTAATTAAAATGAAAAAGTAAAATCTGTGTTGTCTTTTTGGGGTGTGAATATCTGCAGGGGCATTCCCTCTCAAGGTCAGAAGGTGAGGGTCCCTGATGGAGCACAGACTGGTTTCCATCTACCCCCTTTGTCATCCTCTTGTGGTCAGGCCTGAAGACCTCCTAACCCTACGCTCTCCTCATGCATCCCACCTACTTAGAAGCTTCCGTAACAGTCAAGAACTAAGCCTACTGGCTAATTTTGATGCTGTGTTAAACATCCTTATTTATGTTAGACCTATAGTGTGGCAGCAGGTTCGTCCTCTTACTCTAAGAGAGGAAAACAGGATCCCAAGGAGGCCATTTCTGGCCCCTGGCGTGAGGCACTCTCCTATTTTGATTTCATCTCATTTGCCACCTTCTGTTCTCCCCGTTATGTGAGGAGTTGAGAGAATCATAGAGTCCTAGAAGCTGTGAGTGCCTGCAAGAGCATTTAAGCCAGCCCCACCAGGAAACCCCGGGGCTGGGGAGTGAAGGGACTGCACTAGGCCTCCGGTGGGCTAGGGATCGTGCCAAGCCTGACCTGCTGAGTGCTTGCTCTAGGAGGATGATGGCAGTGCTCTCCAGGACAGGGCTCCACGGCAGTCTGAACTCGCAGCAGGCAACCAGCCCCTTTCTGTCAGTGAAGGTCAGGGTGTGATGTGATGAGCAAACTAGGCTCCTGAAGCGCTACCTCGAGTACCCCTCTTCCCACCTACTCCTCTTTCCCCCTTAAGTGTCCAAACAACACACCTCAGGCTGTAAAGGGTATAATAAAATTATTTTTATTGCATTTTGTGCAGACGGGAGTCTAAAAAATACAGTAAAAGCTGTAAAGCATTAAATGGGAGCATTCAACAATGAAGGAAAGAACCAACGCGCTCCTTTCCGTATTGGCACGAAGAACACAAGATCAGTACTGAGGCAGAATGCGGAATACTGAAACACACTGAAAATTAAAGGCAGGCCTAATAATAGTAATAAATAATCTTGATTTGGTTTGCAACCTCTCCTATATACAAGGGTTTTCAACTTCATTGCATTGCCCTGCACATAGATCGTCTAAAACAAAAGCAACACTAGTTATCACTACAAGGCTATTGAAATATTGCACTCAGAATAAAAGTCACTTGAATGGACATGAAACATCTAGCTACAATGGTTATAAAGATAATTTGATGAGTGACTTGTGATAACATTCATAACAAATATTGCACATGTAGCACAGAAAACTTGGGTTTTGTTGTGGGATGTTTGTCTTCATCAACGGAAACTTTGCTCTTGCCAACCAGACATTCCGGGCCCAGACAGCGTAACTTTGGTTCCCTAACTGGTGTTGATAAACAGCCCATTCCCCTTCTGCTCAGCCCACTGCTTCGCTGGGAGGGCTGGACCCAGCTGTGGTTCTGGGAAGGCAGTCTTCAGGAAGATGCCGGGAGGGGAGGGGGGCGGCCTGGTGTCCTAGTACAACTTTCTAAAGTCTATCTGCCCCCCTCATCAAATCTCAGAGGGCCTTGGCCTAACGGGGAGATATCCAGACCTACCTACCTCCAGCCACACCTGACCCAGTCTATAGATGGCAACAGCTCCAGCTCTTGGGCTCAAAGGGAAGGAGGTGGTGAGGTCAGGAGTACCCAGTAGCCCCAGTTCTGGGAGGCGGGCAGGATGTCCTAGGTGCAAATGTCAGGGCCCTGGGGCTGGAGGTACTGAACCCAGTCCCAGAGGGCGCTGGAACGAGCATGCAGGGCCTGCCCCCTTAGTATCGTGCCCTGGGGGAAGGGAACCCGCCCAATGCGCCTTCCCTAGGGATAGAGGGCGCCTCTGATGGGGCTGCTTGGAGCAAAAGCGCCAAGGACTGGAGTTGGAGAAGCCAAAGGCCTTGGGTCCTAGCTGGAGGAGGGCAGAGAGGCGCTAAGAACAAAGCACATGGCGACTCCAGCCCTCCCTCGGGCCCAGGTGCCTGGGAGACGCAGCTGCAGGCCGCTGCTGGGCGGCGAGGCCCGGCCCCGGGGCGCGGAGAAGGCGACGGGGTCCCCGCGCCCCGAGCTGCCAGCTGCCGGATGGGGACAGAAGAGGGAACATCAGGGGCGGCGCCGGGGCCTCCCCGGTGGGTCTGGCCCCCAAACCCAAATCGCCGACCCCTCCTCCCGCGCCTGTCCCAGGGACGCAACTCCGGGGAGGGGACGCCCTCCAGCTCCCCGGATTCAGTCTTTGGCGAGGAGCCACGGGGTCGGGGGAGCAGGCGACGAGCTGACGCGGAGAGACGCCTGCTCCCGGCGAAGGCACGGGGGCGGGGCCTCCTCGGCCGGCGCCCACCCCCGGGGAGCCCCGCCCGTCCCGGCGGCCGCGCGCCCCCGGGGCGCTGGGAGGCGGGTCTCACCCCCTCTCGGAAAAGAAATCGCGGGCAGGTCGGAAGCCGGGGGCGCGCGGGAAGGGCGAGGCGGCGAGAGCGGGGCGGGGGTGCCAAGGGGCCAGGACCACGACTCCCGCCTGGGCCGAAAGCACTTCTGCTCCCAAACTCGCGGACGCCCGGGAAAACCCAGCGTCCCGGGGCCCTGCCTCCCCGGGCGCCCCCAGCCGGAGAGCTCGACCGCGGCGAGCAGAGAAGTCCGTTGCGCTTCTAGTCACAGAAATATGGGGACGTTAAAAATACACGCGACGCCTCCTGTACACTATGTATAGGCGCGGCCCCGCCGGGGAGGTGGGCGGCGGCCGCTCGGGCCGAGGCAGCCCCCCCGCCGCGCGCCCGCGGGGCCGCCGAGGAGGACCGGGCGGGCGGCGGAGGGTCGGGCCCGCGCCTCCCCGGCCTTATTGCAGCGTCTCCTCCGGCGGGGCGAGGCTGGGCCCGCGGAGCAGCGCGCCAAAGGGGCGCTCGGGCTCCGGCCTCCGCGCGGGGCGGTCCGCTCCGAGTCAGCCCCGAGCGGCGCGGCCTCCGGGCTTCAGGCAGCGGGGAAAGGGGCCGGGGCGCGGGCACAGGGTCTGTGTGTAAACGGTGACAGCGGCAGGGGGCGCGGCGAGGGCTCCGGGGCCGCCGGCCGGGCGCGCTCGGGCCCGGGTGGCAGGTCCCGGCTCTCAGGAGTAGATGGTGATGACCTCGCGGCCGCCGCCGCGGACCAGCATCACCCGGTCCAGGTGCTCGGTGAGCACCTCGAGGAACTCCATGTCTGCGCGCGCGTCAAGGAGAACGCCTGGCCCCGCCCCCGGCCGGCCGGAGGTCGCGGCCCGCGGTAACGGAGGCAGGGACCCGCTCGGCTCTTCCACCCCAGGACTGGGACCGCGGCCCCCCGACGCCCGCCTCGCTCCCCCACCCCGCGCCTTAGGGCCAGGATACAGTTTTCGTCACCGTTGCGGTTGCGCGGAGGTCCCGGCATGTTGAGCAAAACCAGTTTGGCATCCCGGGATTTCTTCACGATGACCTCGTTCAGCCGCACGGCCGTGTGCATGCGCCGCACGTTGGACTGGTTCCTGCGGAGGCGGGGGCGGGGGCGGGGAGGGCGCGTGAGCTGGGCGGCGCAGAGCTGGACCCAGCGCCCCCCCAGGCCCAGGCGCCTGGGCGCCCGGCACCTGCTCAACCCCACACCTCTCCGGAGACCCCAAAGGTCAGGGGCACGAACTGAGGGCTCGTGGCTGAGTGAGGAGAGCAGGGACCCCGGCCAACCCAGAAGAGCGAATAAAAAAAAAAAAAAAATCCTGAAGCACTTACAAATTCTCCCACTCCCTTCAGGAAACACAAGAGAAGCAAAGAGGAAGAACGAGAGAGGGGTCAGCGGAGGAAGGAGACACTGAGGACTTGCCCCCCACGCCAGTGCATGCTGGTCCCGCTCTCCCGGCCACACGCCCTCCTCTTTTTCACTGCCTACACCTGGGAGTGCCGACCCTCGGCCACCAGCCCAACCCCCAGGTTGTCAGAAGGGGAAACCCAGACAAGGTCTGCGCTCAGTCTTCCGCGGGGACCTCCGCTGCTCGTTCGCTCTGCCATGGGGAGCAAGGACCCTGTAGGCCCACCCCACCCGAGCCCCCAGCCTCCAGGCCCCTACGGCTTCATGCTGAAGAAGTCCTTGATGCCCTCGGAGGAGACCGGACTGGGGCCCTTATTCTTCTCTGCCACCGACTTGTCCTTGGTCCAGGTGAGATGCACCTTCTCGGGATCTCCCTCGCCCTCCCCCTCAGGCTCCTCCCCCGGGGACGGAGAGCTGCTGGGGCAGCTGGGAGCGCTCTGGTCGTGGATCAGCTGCACCTGAGAGATGAAGGAAAGGGCAGCACGTGACTCCTATTTAGAGACCAAAGCTTGTGCTCCCACTGGCTGGGGCCAAACCACCCCAGCTGCACACCTCCTCCTCTGGCTTCTCCTCGCTGTCACCAGCTGTCTCTTCTGGGACGTTGAGGCGGAGCCGAGTGTTGGCTGGATTCTTTCTCCGGATTGAGCCACGAGACTCATCTGTGATACTCTGGATCTAGGGAGTGACACAGGTTAGCACCAGCTCTGCTCTCACTCACCACCCATTCCCTGCCAGGAGCTACCGTGGGAGCTGATGTTCAGCCACGGAGGCACGCTTTCGGGAACTGTACCAGTTGTTAAAATGTCGCAGTGCTTGCATACCAAATAGCTATTGGCCCACTGACCTGGCCGCTCCAACTCATCTGCAGAACCCCTGACCTCCCCACCATCCAGCAACCAAAGGGTTAACAGTTGGCCCAGCAAGGCTCTATCTTAGCATGTGGTCTGGTACCAGTTGTGATGGGTCAGTGCACTTGCCATTTCTTACTTTTTTTTTTACTATCACCCCTGGACAACATCCTCGGAGTATTCATCTTTCCCAGCTCAAAAACGTACCCATCAGTCCTTTCCCTGAGAACCCAGTAACCACAATCTGAGAAATATATTATTCACACCTGGGAGGCCCCCTCAACCATGGTCTGTCACCCTCACCTGTAGGATCTGCTACCCATTCCACATGCACCCTGTCACCTGCCCCCAAAGTCTTCAGTCCCAGAGTACCGTGGCTCATTTCCCCCAAGGACTCTGTTCCCTGAGGTGGGGCTTTCGTCCCAACTCCAAGGGACTAGTGGTCCCACGTTACTCACACCTGGGCAATCTTACACCCATACCCCATGGGAGGCTCATCGTCATTATCCCTGAGAACCCATCAACCACATCCTAGGAAGTGTGCCCCCAACTCCCACCATTAGCCACATCCCTAAATATCCATCTCTTACCCACTCTCACAGGGTCTGTCACATGATCCCTTGTCCCCCACACTCGCAGCCCACGTCCCTGAGGAATCATCATCCATACATATTTAGCTTCCACTGTTCTCCGTTGGGCCCCAGAAACCACGTTCAGAGGGGGAAATCTGTCACCCATGCCAAAGCCCTCTGCATCCTGGCTGGCAGGCTTGGTAGGTGCAGCTGCAGTGTGCCCCTGCTGCTAGGAAGCCCGGTGCTGGGAGGGGGGGTTGAGGGGAAGAAGGGTGATGAGTAATGCTCTAGGGTGAAGGCCGTGCCAGTGACCAGGAGCATGAGCCCTGGGCCATCCCTACTGTGCAGACCCAGAGCTGGCAGGAGCTTGAGGCTCTCAGAGCCCACCCGGGGCAACCTTACCTCCCGCTCTCGCTCATTCTTGGTTAAATGCATCTGTTTGAGGATCTGGGAACGCTGCTCCATCACCAGTGTCTTCTCGTAGGTGTAAGCCGAGATGTCGCTCTCATGCTGTGGGCGGGCAGGGTTGGGGGCAAGGGAGGAAAGCAGTGAGTTCAGGTGCAAGGCCAAGGGAAGGGAGGCAGACCCCCTTCCTTCTGCCAAGCTGGGGCTTCTCTGTCTAATGACCTAGGTTAACCAATAGCTGTGGGAGGCAAGGATGAAGCACAGGGCAATGCTCCTTGAAGGCAGTGCAGCTCATTACCTGCTCAGCCCAACTCAGGACCAAGAGTATGAATGGGTGAATTAGTGAATGAGTAGATTAATTAATTACCTGGCTGAATGGAGAAGGGGAAGAAATTTTAAAGGAACACGGTGATGATGAATACATGAATACATATATGGATGAATGGGTGGTTGAGTGAATGAATACATTAATGAATACACAGAGGGATGGGTGGATGGATAAATAAACTGCAGGCAAAGATGGACAAGGGGCTCTGTAGTGTAATTGTGAGGGGCGTGGACTCTGAAGCCAACCAGCTGGGGTTGAAATCCTGGTTCTGCCACTTAGTTGTACTGTTGGGTAAATTACTTAACATTTCTGTGCCTTCCTAATCTATAAAATGAAAATGTTGATAGTTGTATCTATTTCACTGGTTGTTGTGAGAATTACTATATGTAAATATATATATATATATATATATATATATATATATATATATATTTACAGTGCATGAGACAGTGCTTCACATACAATGACAAGGCTATTCTTATAAAAGAGGAGGGAGGGAGGGAGGGATGGACGGACAGACAGACTGACTCTTGGGTGACTATATGAGAGTCTGAGAGGTGGAGAAGGTGGGGAAGGGATCCATGGATTTGGGAGTTGCCTTATTTGGTGTGGGGCCAAGAGGAAAGAGGACCAGGGAGGACTCCGAAGGCTCAGGGATGGCTCCTGGGCACTCACCATCTCCACCACCTCGACCTCTGCGGTGATACGTAAGTGGTACAGAAAGGTGGTCAGGTCCTTCTTCATCTGGATGCTATTGTCGTCCATCTGGGCCACCGTGAAGATACGCATCTTGCATTTCCGCCAGACCTGGAGGGGAGAAGGGGACCCAGAAAGGTCCAGCCCAGATGGAGTGAGGAGATCCAGAGTCAGAACCTCGAGAGGCCCCATCCCTCGCCCTTCTCACCCACCTTCCCACACACACACACAGACCCGAAATCCTCTATCTCAGTGGCCTCTCCCTACAAAAACTCCCCTGCTTAGGTAAGGGTCCCCCATTAAAGTATCCCTTGCTTGGGCGGAGCATTGCTCTCCTTTACAACCCAAGCACACCTGCAAGAGGAGACCAAATCAGTTCCTAACATCTCAGTTTAAGGGAGGTGATCAGCCTGCTTTCCCAGGAGCTTTTGGGGAGGCCGGCCCTGGCCAGAGCCGGGGAGCCATGAGCGCCCTCACCTTGTGGTGCCGCAGCAGGAAGGGTAACAGCATGAGCATGCCTCCATCGTGCACGATCCACCAGACGTCGATGCTGCCCTCGGAGAAGCGCTCGGGATTCCCGGGGAACATGGAAACATTTTTGGTGACCAGCAGGGCCAGGTGACCAGCTGTGGTTTCCCGGACCAGCTCTGGGGAAGGCCAGGGAGAGGGCCAGATGGGAAAGCAGTGATCCTGGTCCCCTCCCGCACCAAGCAGCAGTCACAGAGGCTCCTGGCTCCCAGCGTCTCACCCCACCCTGTCTTGGCCTTGGCCTGAGTCATCAGAAAACCAGGATCCATGTAGGTTTCATCACTTAATCTTGTTTGGATTTGGGAAAGCCTCTCAACCTTGCTGGGCCTCAGTTTTGCCATCTGTCAAGTGGCAATAACACCACCTGCCCTTCCTATTAGGAACTCTTCTGTGTACAGCCTCATTTATCCTCCCAGCTGCCTTCTAACTATGACCCAACTATAAAGGACACAGAAGAGCCTGGAGTCAGCAGGGCAGCCTCTAGTTTAACCTAGTTAAGCTGCATGACCTAGAGCAGGATCCTCAATCTCTCTGTGCCTCTGTTTCACACCAGTAAAGTGGAGATAACAGGTAATAGCCCTCACAGGACTGCTGAGGGGACAAGAGGCTTAGAGAAAGCCTCAACTTGTCTCACACACAGAACACAGTCTACAAATGGTAGTTATATTATTACCAAGGAATCTAGTGCTCAGAGAGGGGAAGTCACTGGTGAACCAGCACACAGCTAGGAAGGGCCAGAGGCGAGGTTTAGACCCAGGCCTCTCTGACTTCGTGGCTGTAGGCGTTTCCACTCCCCTCCACTGACTCCCTCCCAGGGCCCACCAAGCTCTGCAGGGTCCCAGACTACCCTGAGTTCACATCTGAGTCCCCAGCACCCAGCACAGCCTCTGGCATGGGGCCAGCTCTGAACACCGACACCTGCATATTTCACACTTGTCATGTCTAGGAAATAGCCCCAGGGCCCAAGAAGGAGAAGCCACAGCCCGCCACTGCCCCCAGCCCACTCAGTGTTACCAATGAAGTTCCTCCACGTCTGATGATCTTCCTTCTGCCGCCAGTTGCGGGGCCAGCCGACGAGCACGGTGTTGTGCTGCAGCCCCCCGAGGCCCCCAGACTGAATCAGATGTGACACACCATCACGCAGGTTGGAGGAAATCACCACCTGGCAGAAGCCTTTCACCTTCTCTGCCTCCATCAGGCGCCGGATGGACTAGGGAGGAGGGGGCGGGGAGGGGGTGGCAGCATGTCAGATGAGGCTGAGCCTCAGGCCTCCCTGGCCCTGCACAGCCCCTCCCCCTCGGGCCTCCCTTCCTCCTGTCTCTCCCCTCCATCAACCCCCATCTCCCTGAAGCTCAGCTCCGATCAGGTCAGCCTCTGGTGCCAGAATCATGCATGGCTCCCCATCACCCATGGCCCCCATTCCTTGTTGGTCCATCAAAGCTCTTCACGACCTTACCCAACACTTCCCCGCACCCTGCCAGCACTGCCAGCCCTCCACCACCTTCCAGACCTCCCCCTCCCACTGTATATTCACCCTACCTGGCTCAACCCCAAATGTTAGCTTCTCAGAAACCACCCCCCACCCAGACCAGAATGGAACCGGGCTCCTCTGTGTGCCCAGACAATTTGCTTTTAACAACTTTTAAAAGTCAGCATTAATGATAAGCATTTTAAATGTACATTGCACCTGGATTATGAGGTTAGTGTTTTTGGTTTTATAGATGAAGATATTGAGGCTCAAAAGAATTAAGACTTGCTTGCAGCCACACACTAATGGGTGTCCCCATTCCACTCCAGAGCCCTGACTCCATCCCCCATACCCTGAACTACTACCCTGATGCCAGAGGGCTTCAGCTCCTACCTCTGCCACCTCCTGGCTGTGGGACCTTGGGCAAATCACCTAACTTCTACAAACCTCAGTTTTCCCATCTGTCAAATGGGGGTCGTGACAGCTACCTCATTTAGAAACAGGCAGGATTACAAGACATGATGTAAGGTAGAATGTTGCCTGACAGACTGTAAACACTCAACACATTCTATTGCTCTGATGATGTGAACTCCAGTAAAGCCCCTATCAACAGCAGACGGGCTTGAGAGCCTTCTGGGTGTGTTCCAGCTTCCCACTAGCCTGTGAGCGCCTTGAGGGCTGGGATTCAGTCTCATACATCCCCCATCTCCCCATGCCTGGTACACAGCACATTCTCAGCCACTGCATGTTGAGGGAAGCTGCCCAGTGGAGGCCTCCAGCTCTGGGCCCTGACAGATTGGTGTGAACGGCCCAGTGAGGCAGAAACAGCAACTGTCACAAGCCATTAGGGGTGCCCCTCCCCATCTCTCCCTGCCTCCCTCTGGCCCCCTTTCCTTTCTCCACAACTAGCCATAGCCCCAAGGGGAGAGAGGCAGGGATCAAAGACAGAACCCACTTCCTCCGCCACCCACCAGGTTCCAGACACCTGCGACTGCCCCCTAATGCAGAGGGGCCTGCCCCTGCCCACCCTGGCTCTGGACACTGCTCTGAGAGCATGGGCCCGTGGATAGGGACAGGAGCAGGTGACCCAGAGCCAGGGTCCCAGGCATAAATCTCGGCTGTGCTTCCAGCCAGCTTTGTGACTTTCGGCAAGCTGCTTTCCCTCTCTGGGCCTGTTTCTTCCTGTACTAAGTGTACACAGTGCCAACTCCACATAGTGTAGGGATCGCAAGAATCAGGAATGTGGAAGCACTTGAAAGATTCCTATTTTGGCAGGGAGAAGTCTGGAGCAGGAATGAAGTAGTCCTAACCTGGGTCTCTGTTTTCTGTCCTTAGACAAATGCCCTGACTTATCTAAGCCTCAGTTTCTTTATCCATAAAATGGGCCCGTTTAGGGGCACCTGGGTGGCTCAGTGGTTGAGCATCTGCCTTTGACTCAGGTCTGATCCCAGGGTCCTGGGATCGAGTCCCGCACCGAGCTTCCCACAGGGAGCCTGCTTCTCCCTTTGCCTGTGTCTCTGCCTCTCTCTCTCTCTCTCTGTCTCATTAATAAATAAATATAATAAAACCTTTAAAAGAGAGAGAGAGAAACCTGTCTTCCTGAGTGCCCTGCCCTTCCCCTCCCACCAGGACCTCGGCTCACCTCCTCTGCCCGCTGAGCCTGGGGATGGTTGTCGAGAAAGGTGCCCTCAAGGACGGAACCCACAATGGTCAGGCCCTTCCCTGCCTTGAGCTGGGAGGTCAGTGAGAGCAGCTGTGGGTGTACCACATTCTGGTCTTGGTCCACACGCACCAGCACCAGTAGCTGTGGCCTGCAGAGGATGCAAGGTCATGTGAGCCATTCAACACCCACCCAACCTCCACCCACCACCCACCACACACCCACACACGGTACCCCGGTGAGTTTACTAGCCATCTGTCCTCTATAGCCCCACCCACCTATACCCCCATCACTCACCCATCCACCTAAACATCCATCCATCCATTTCCTTGAACATCAACCCATCCAACCAGACACGCACATCCACCCACCCACCTTCTCATCTCCCCATCCACCTCACTTATCCATCCATCCATTCACCCACCCATCCATTTTATCCACCAGTCACCCACTTGTATCCATATTAATTTACCTATACATACATTATTCACCTAATTATCTAACATCCACCTGCCACTGTCCATTTACAAATTCATCTATTCAGTTCAAGAGCATTCTCTAAGCACCCTGGGCTAGACCCTGTGTCAAGAATTTAAGAATTCACAGACAGATCACGCAAAGCCCTGGTCTCTGGTAGCCCCAGGTTAGCAGACATCAGCAAGCACCAGCCAACTATGTGCTCGGCATGGTTCAGAGTTCAGGCCTTACTCTCAGCAAAGTGACCTGAGGGAGATGAGTGAGGGCCAGGCTCCCAGAGCCCTCAGCTAGAAAACACCCTGGATTGAGAGGAGGGAAGTAAAGATTCTGCTTCCAATACAGCCTTCTATGAGACCCTCTCTGGCCCCTGATTTTCACACGAATAAAGTAGAGGGATTATTATTAGTCTAGAGATTTCTAGGAGTCTCTTTAACTCTCAAAGTGAATGAGGCCACCTCTCCCAGAACAAATGCTACATGGCATTACATTCATCTGTCTCTGTGTGTGCCTTCTCCATGGAACCGTTAGCTCACTAGGTCCCACAGACTGGAAGGGCGCCTGGCACACACCATGCATTCATACATTTTTTAAACACATGGTGGAATGAATGGAAGGCTGAAACGATGGTAGCTCAGCCCGGCCCCAGGTGCTGCAGGTAAGAAAGGTCAGACTCGGCTGGGGCTGAGAAGGAAACCACTGTGGTGGGAATGGTACTGATTATACAAAGCAGATGAGGAGGATCAGACCCTGCTCCCTTCCTGTCCTTCCCCTGGGCCCTACCATGAGTGCCTGGCCACCTACCTCCAGTTCTTTGTATGTGGGGCCCTTCCTCCAGGCGTAAGAGGGCATAGCGTGCAGCACTGAGGGACAGGCCTCGGATCCCATCGCCCCACTCCTTCTCTGCCCTAGGGGCCCGAGGGGGATCAACCAGGAAAGAAAGCCAAGGGCATCAGTAAGAACCACACACACTGAAGCAGCTGCCTCAAGGCAGAAGATGTGCAGCCATCCTGCCACCTCCTTTTCTCAAAGCTTCACCCCTCCTTCAGCTCCTCCCTTTTGTCTCCCAATCCCACCCATCGCTCCTTCCCCTTCCCCATTTTTCCTTTATCCCCACCCCTTCTAACCTTCCCCATTCCCCCCGCCACTTCCTATGCTTACCCTCGGTACTCGATGTACTTGTAGATGAGCCCAGCGATGAGCATGGCCACCAGGGCATAATACCAGGAGCAGATAAACATGAGGGCCAGGCAGAGGCTCATGCCCAGGAAGGAGAGTGTCCTGGATGATGGGGGGAAGACCCAGCTTCTGAGCCCTGGCAGAAATGTCCCTGGTGCCGGGGCTCAGACAGCTGGAGTTAGATGGGGTAGGGAAGGAGACCCTCTCCAGAACCCTTCTCATGCTAGTTGGGCTACAAAAGCTGGAGACATGGAGGAATGTCAAATCCCTATTTGAGTTTTGGATCCTTAGACCTAGGGGATGGGTTGGGGTGAGGTGGGGGTTGGGGTGGAGATGAGAAGGTGGTTCTGTCAGGCAGGGAAGGGGACAGGGCACCTACCAGTGGTAATATCGAAAGCGTGGCCTCCAGTTGGGTGTCCTCAGCAGTGTCTGGACTGCGCAAGCCAGGTTCACAAACATGTAGCACATCAGGAAGAACCTAGAACACAGAAAAGACCCAGAAGAGACAGAGATGCAAAGGGAGGCAGAAAGAGAAAGAGAAACATAAGAGAAGAAAGAGCAGGAAAGAATAAGAATTTGAGGAGGTGATCAAATCACATTCTCGTGCTTCAGAAGGGATTCAAAGGCCAAATCCCCTTACAACACACCTTGATCCATGTGGGAATGAATCTCCATATAACGAAAGACAGACTGTTAAACAATTGGGTGGGCTATCCAGGGTCACAACCAGAGGATCCAGGTAGAGAGACACGCCCCCTCCCTCAGAGCTATTGGGAGGGAAAGAGGCCAGCACGCACATAGAGAGGATGGGGGCGACCTCGTCAAGGGATGCGATGAGGATGCCAATCTCACAGATGCAGGCAGTCAGGAGCAAGGCCCATGTTGGTTCTCCATTTGCTTTGCCGTGGCCAAAGACCTGGAGAGAAAGCAACCATCGCAGAGGTCTGAGATCTTAGAGATGTCTCATCTCTCCTCCAATATTGGGAATCAGTGCAACAGAGGCAGAAATCCCCTAACCAGTGAGGAAATGGGGAGCGGATGCTGTATTCCTCATCCTTCAAGGGGTACGCAAGGGGATGCCAGGCTTTGGCTCTGTCTCTCTCACTCTGGCATTGGTACCTCAGTGCAATGAAGTTTGAATGATCACTTAAGGAGAAAAGAACCACCTGTGGGACAGATAGAGAGGAGCACCGGGAGCCAGCAAGTGGCCATGACCGTGTGCTCCATAAATCTTTTTTGTTTTAAGCACCATGGAGAGAGCTTGCCCTTTGGCTGCCTCCCTATCTGATCACTTAGCCAAAGGAGGGCCATTTGTTTCTCCCCTCAGAGCAGACAACTCTGCCCCAAGAGATGGCACTGCCATGGGCCAAATCCCAAATAAGGCACACCCATTCTTCTCAGTGGCAGTGCAGAGCGGAAGGGCCTCGGGGGGCATAGGCTCACTGGGTGGCCTCTCTGGGCAATGGCTTGGCTGGCTGGTGTAGTGGATGGGCTGTTCTTCTCACACCTCCCACTGACCTGCAGGAAGGGCACGATGCCATCCCGGGAGATGGCCTGCAGCAGGCGTGGGGCCCCCGTGAGGCTCTGCAGCCCGGCCCCACAGGTGGAGAAGAAGGATCCAATGACAATGACCCAGGGGGATGGCCAGGCCAGTGTGCCCACCACCAGGTTGCCATTCACAGCTTCTCCAAACCTGGAATGAAGCAGCGAGGGGATAGGAGATGCTGGATGAGCAATGCTGCCTCAATTTCCAGGGCATGTCTCCCACACCAACCTCAGGACCAGCTGTATGCCCACTCCACGGCTAGGCTCCAAAGGAGCAAGGGGAGGAGACAGGGCTTGTAAGGCCCTGGGGATTTTCTGACTGTGTGGTCTTGGGCAATTCGTTTGCTCTCTCCTTGCCTCAGCTTCCTCAGCTGTAAAGCAGAACCATTATAAACCTATCTCATGTGATTGGTGACAAGATAAAAGGAGATAGCACAGGTAAAATGCTCAGCAGCATGCCTGGAACAAGATGCCAAAAGTGATTAGAGCAAATGGTCAATTATGGGGGCGCCTGGGTGGCTCAGTCGGTTAAGTGTCTGCCTTCAGCTCAGGTCATGAACCCAGGGTCCTTGAATTGAGCCCCACATCAGGCTTCCTGCTCAGCAGGGAGTCTGCTTCTCCCTCTCCCTCTGCCTGCTGCTCCTTCTGCTTGTGCTCTCTCTCTCTTTCTCTCTCTCTCAAATAAATAAATAAATAAATAAAATCTTTAAAAATAAAAAATTATCAATTGTGTAAAACTATGTTAATCTGGTAAAATCTCTTAGCTTATTAGAACTGTGTCTCCATCTGAAAAATGGGGTTCTGGTCTCATCATATGGTCATGGTTATGCAGTGTGAGAATCAAAGTAAAGCATTTTCTAACAATGACACTATCTTAAATTGAAAGATGCTGCCTCTGTAGGCAGAGAGCCCTGTCACTGGAGTGTATAACCAGAGGTTTGCTCAAATGGGCCATTGCTGAAGGACTATAGCTGAAGGGTTTTACTGGATGACCTGCTGAATCTTTTGGAATCCTGTGGGAGGTCTACGATCAAATGAAATAAGTGGAGATTAAGTTGCCCTAAAAGTGAATAAGTGCAATATGTGCAAATTGTCCATTTGGCCAAGTCACTCCTTTACTTAAAACCTGTCAGAGTTTCCCCCGTCTTCTATAAAATAAAGCTCTAATGTCCTGGTACCAAAAACCAGGCTTCCAGAACTGGTTCCAGCCTCATTCCCCTTACAGAAGCCACGATGGCACCATGGAAACTGACTTCTGTGACAAGACCTCCTACTTCACCCGGCTAGTGGTACATGCCCACATCCTTCAAAAGCGTATGTTCCAGAAGCTCTGAATTGCTTATAGCTACAGGCACCCACATGCACATGCACACACACACACACACACACACACACAGCTATTTCTCTCCTCCACCTTTGTTCATGCTGTTCCCACTGCCTAGAGTGCCCTTCCCACTCCTAGTCACCTAAGTAATCTCTACTCAACATTTGAAGTGAGAAGGATAAATGAGAAAATGTGTAGAAGGCACTTCCAGCATCGCCTCCTCCTCCCCAGCCCCCTGCACACTGAATTGCAGTCTCCTTGTACTACCAGAACCCCTGTACTTTATTTTATCCCACTTCTGCTGCTCCACATTCCAAATCTGTTGTTGACTATGGTTACCAGCCCCGAAAGAGCTCCTTCAGGACAAGAAGCATGTGTCATTTATGTTTATTCCCCCCAGAACTCTGGACAGTGACCAATAAATAGACATCTAGGAAATGTTAAGTGGGTTAATAGATTTTAAAGAAAAAAAAGGGGGAGTAGCATTATCTGAGAGAGAGAGAGAGAGAGAGAGAGAGAGAGAGAGAGAGCATCCAAACTTCTTGAGCTGGAGTGACAGGAGAAAGATAAAATATAAGAAAGTGGGTTTGCAAGCAGTCCCCTGTGACCTCCCTCCCACAATTCCCCTTGCACAGGCTCAGCACTCCCTGCTGGGTCTGTTTCCCAGAACTTGCCCCCCTATACCCACCACCCAGAACAGGATCAGCCCTGATTCCCTTACTTACTTGTCCCGCAGGACGACCCCCTCAATGCAGGCCCCAAACAGAACAACGGAGCTGATATCTGTAGCAGAGGATGAAGGAGAATCCCCAAGGTGACGTTCCCCTTTCTCCTCCCAAACCAGCTGGGCGGGAGGCAGCGGCTTCAGCTGCCCTCCCTCCAGGCCTCCCCACCCAGTGTGGTTTCAGCCCAGCAGTGCAGGATACAGACAGCAGAGGTGGTGGCAATGGCCAGGATGGTGCCAGTGGGAATTGACTTCTGGGCATCCCGTAGGTCCCCAGAGCGGTTAGAACCAGCCATGATCCCTGTAAACAGAGGAGCAGCTAGGACAGTGTCCACAGGAGACCAGACAGAATAAGAAGAAAGGACAGCAGCCAGTCAGGAAGCCTGGGATCTAGTCCTGGCATACCACCTGGTGTGAGAACTTGGGCACATTACTTGGCTTCCCCCGACCTTAATTCCCTCATCTGTGCAATGGGAACTGGACTGTTAGCTCCTGTCTATGTGATGAGATTGTAGGACTAAGAAATTCCCCCACATCATCATTGACTCTCTCTACCCATCACTCCCAGGCTGAGTCCTCCCTCTCTGAGTTCCCCTTCACCTGTGACTGAGGGGAAGTAGATGCCAACCAGCAGGGTGAAGTAGGAGGTCATATCGCTGAAGACATAAGGATGGTCCATGTCGATAGGGGTGCCCTCCGCCAGGCCCACCGAGGGCATCCCACGCCTCTCCACAATCACCCCTTTGGTTAGGTAGGAGCTCCAAAGATTCTCTGTGGGGGGAGACAAGATGTTCATGAGGAAGACCAGAAATCGGGGTGCTAGAGCTACAGGGCCAGGAGGTGGGGTGGGCAAAAAAGAAGGATCAAGGTCAGCCACTTCTCACTCCTCCTGGAGGCCTTGGCTCTATTTTATTTCCACCAACATTTCCTAAACTCCTGCTTTGGGCCAGGTCATGTGTAGAGGCTTTGTACATGAATCATATCTAGTCCTTGCCCTCAAATAGTCCAGTCTGGTGGGGTGAAAAAACACATAAAGACCTATCTCTGACCGATTCAACATTCTCAAACTGATCTCAGCGCCCAGACACCTCAAACCTTTTTTGTATCCTTTATCTCAACAAATGGCATCACCATCAATTCATACAGTTTTATGTTGCCCTCAACTACTCCCTTCCCCCCTCCATTTCAAAACCATCTCCAACTTCTGTCCATCATTCCTCTAAATATTTCTCAAATATGCCCCTTCTCTCCTTTCCAGGGCTCCCCCACTTCTGCACTATTGACATTTTGAGTCAGATAATTCTTTGTTACGGAGAGCTATCCTACAGCACTGCAGAATGTTTAGCAAAATCACAGCTTCTACGCATTAGATGCCAGTAACAACCATCTAGTTGTGATGGCAAAAAATGTCTCCAGACATTGCTACGTGTCTCCTGATGGGCAAAACAGCCCTGGGGGAGAACGACTGCTCCACTCCCACTGACATCACTCCATCACTCTAAGTTAGAAAAACATCATCTCTCACCTGGACTCAGCATTAGCATCCTCCTGGACTCCCTGCCTCTGTTCTCTCTCCCTTTTACCTCACCCATATGATAAGTCAGAGTGAACCTTTAGAAATGATCTGACCATGCTCATCCCTTATTTGAAACCCTCTGGTGCCCCTCATTGCCCTCAGGACGTGGTTCAAACCCTTCAACATGGCTTCCAAGGCCTGCCACAATCTGGCTTATGCCAGCCTCTCCGACATCATTTCTTGCCCCTCCTTCCTTTGTACTTTATGCCCCAGTCATACTAAATTATTTGTGGTTGGAAAGACACAATATGCTCTTCTCTGTCTGCATGCTTTCAGGCAAGCTGTTCTTCTGCCTTAAGTCCTTTATTCCCCTAGTATAACTCAAAATCTCTTATTTTTCCCCCAAAATCCTCCTCAGATGAGTCTAGGAAGCCTTGTCTTGCCACCTTATACACATGACCCATCTCTCCCCTGTAAGGTTTCTGTTCATTGAATCTACATCTACTCATATCACAATTCATTTCCTAATACATCTGTGTCTGCCATTAGACTCCTTGAAGCCAAAGACTATGACTTATTTATGTCGTATTCCTGGTGCTCAGCACAGTGCTAGACATTAAGTAGACGCTTAGTGAATAGTTGTTAAACTAACGACTTTCATTCCTACTAGGTGGTAAGATACTTGAAGGCTCCCTTTCATCTCTCTTCCTCCATGATGCCAAGGACAGAACATGGCCCAGAGTAGGTGCTCAATTAAAACTGACTGAATTTAAGTGAATCCCAAGGAGAGTTCCTTAATCCTGACCGTTTAACCCACAATCCCTGTAGTGTTCCCTGGACATCAGCCCTCTTCCCTCCCCCAGACCTTTGATGAGGCCACTGGCAGCGCCAGGGATGCCCTGGATCTCCGTGACATTATTTCGGGTGAAGTACTCATCACAGGTGGCGTTGAGGAAACGGGAGGAACAGAAAAGGCCCCAGAGCCGTGTGGTCACCGTCTCATTTCCTTCCCAAGCCAGCTTGGCACAGACATCAAAGCCATGGCGAGACAGTGTGCGGTTCCCCAGGAGGCAGATCCTAGGGAGAGAAACAAGGGAGGAAGATGGGGGAGGGACATAACCTTGTCTTGGCTTCACAATAGAACCACCGGGGGAGCTCTAAAAAACACAGATCCCAGGGCCCCATATCCAGAGATTCTAATTTAATTGGGATGGAGCACAGAGTCGGTGTTTTTTCAAAGCTCCCCCAAGTGATTTTAATATGCAGCCACTGCAAAGCACCGTTTTAGTGCAAAGCTGTGTTTCAGCACCACGGACAGCAGTCTCCGAACGCCGTCTTAGCAGTGAGATGTTAAGGGAATGTGTCCTAAAGAGGCAGAACCCACAGAGATCTGAGCCCCTAGACCCTTGCTTCTGTGACCTTTCCCAGGATAGAGAATAGGACAACACTAATAAGTTGTCCTATTCCAGGAATTTGTCCCCATCCAGGAAATGCTTCCTAACTTAAACAGTCATCCCTTCAGAAATCGTCCCACTTGATTCTTCTTAAGTCCGCCCCACCAGCAAGCAGTTGACCCTCAAAAGGGAAACTGTGCCAACCTCCAGGAACATTACCCCACCCTGTAGAGATTTCCCCCAAACCAGGAGAGATTTTCCCTCCCAAGGGAGGTTGCTCTGAATCCACAATCACTCAGATTCTGAGAGATGAGGTGAGGGAGGTTGGCAGAGGCTGGCATCCCAGACCCTGAAACGGAGCCAGGGAGAAGAAGGACAATGCCTTAGGCTCAGAGCAACAGCACTTACGGGAAGTTGGGTGGGTCGAAGGCAGATTTGATGACCCCAGCATAGATGGCCAGGATGGAGAGGATGACACAACCCAGGAAGACAAGGGCAAACTTGTTGACATACTTGACGCCCACAAATACCACAGTGGCCATGCAAGTGAGCACACAGGTGCCATATACACGCATATTGTTCAACATGGCTGCTGCCTCCCCGCTGGCATCTTCTGCCTTAAAAATGGCCATAGCTGGGAAGAGGTAAGCCTGTGGAAAGGAGGCAAGGATGTCAGGTGAGTGACACAGCAAGAACCAACTAAGAATCACCCCCAAGGATATAACCTGAAGTGCAGGAAGCACTTTGGAAAAAATACGCTCATCATAGCATATTTACAGAAGTGTAAGACTGGAAATGGCATCCACTGATAAGAGGAGATGTGATCATCTGTATTTTTTTGGCACATACATTTATATTTTCTAAAACTTCCATGTTTATTATTATTAATGTTTATGTTCTTTAAAAAAGTTATTTTCACTCTAAATGTTATTTACAAAGGGAGTTTCTAGCTATTTAGGGAAATCTATAGAATTCTACATTACAAAGACAAAATACAGTATCATATAGTTAAAACAAAAAAAAAATAGAAGGAAATACACCCAAATGTTAATGGTGATTTGGGGCAATTGTTATTTCCCTTTTTACATTCTTTGGTATTTTTCCAATTTTACACAATGGGCAGAACTGCTTTTATAATAATTTTTAAATTATTTAATTGTTTTAAGTCATGGAGGTCTATTATTATCCTCTCAGAATTTGGCTCTTTGGGTCTTTTATTTGCCATCCATCCTCCCTGTCCCCATACTCCTCCATTCTGCCCCAAACCCAGAAGCTGCATCTTTTAGTTCTAGTTCTCCAAGACAGTGTGGTAGAGTGGAAAAGCACTGGCTTTGGGGTCAGAAAAGCACAGGTTCATATCCCTTCCACATGTTCCCTAAACTCCCTGAACTCTGCTTTCCTCATCTCAAATTCTTCTCTTTTGCAACCCACTGGTCACCAGCACCAGCCTGCCTGGACAATGAACATCCACAGAGAAATCAGTACAGTCCCAGGCACGTGGTAGGCAATCACCTACTACGTAGCTATGATGTGACATTATTTTTATTATTTCTACCACAATTTTACTCTTAACAACCCACCTCTGCCACTTGGTAGCTGAATGACCTTGAGCAAGTCATGTCACTTCTCTGAACTTCTCATTTGTAAAATGGGCATAATAATACTTGATCCTTGTGAGGATTCAAGATAATGACTGTAAAGCAATTGGAACTCTGCTGAGAGCACAGTGGGAGCCCAATGAACGACAGTTGTTCACATTACGTAATTACCGTATCTTGTCTCCCCAACTAGATTGTGAATTCTTTAAAGACAGAACTACACTTCCTTTTGGCCTGAGTGGTTTGGTCCTCTCCCCAGGAGGAGATGAGGAAGCATTGGTTAACTGACTGACAGCCTGGAACCCCACACCTCCTCCTTGGCCCCTCTCACCAGTAGGATTTCGATGGTGCCCAGGATGTACATGGCCCCAGCAAAGGTAGTGCCCAGGTAGAAGCAGAGGCCCACGGCGCCCCCAAACTCTGGGCCCAGAGACCTGGAAATCATGTAGTAGGAGCCGCCAGCTGCAGAAAGAACCTAATGTCAGCAAGAAGTTCAAGGGGAGCTGGGCTGCCATTGAGGGTGAGGGGGTTCAGGGACAGAGGTGAGAAAGGAGTTGTTCTGGGCCTCACACCTTACACGGTGCAGCCTAGGACTGGTGGGAGACTCAGCCAGCCACTCTGAGTGGATTTTGCAGCACTAATTACCATGTTGCTAATTACCCCTCTAAGGAGGTCATGGCTCAGAAAAATAGGATGACAGAGAGGAGGGTCTCAGGCAAAAAGGAGATCTCGCATTGACCTGTTCAACTCCATAAACTGCTTCCCTCCCTCCCTTCTGCTTAATACTGCTGCCCCGACCCACCCCACCAAATCACAGCCCAGCCCCCAGGCTTGCAATATTGCCTCTCCTGGTCCTGACAGCCCATGAAGCCTGTGGCTCTGTCCTTCTTTCCAACCATCCAGGCACCCCTCCCGACCATCCAGGTCCCTTTCCCCTCAAGCAGCCCCATCACATACCAGGTACAACACCATTAGTTGCAATTGCACTCATGGAGATGGCCGTGAGCATGGTCTGTGAGGAGAGAGATCATCAGAGTGGCAGCTAGGGTGGGGGCCGCAGTGCCCTGGGAAAGGGCCAAACCTTCCTACCCCATAAACACCTGCCAAACCCACAAGTCCTTGCTGAGCTTCTCCCTGGTCCTGTTCCAACTTCTACTCCTGCCAAGTCCTTCTTGTCAAGAAAACCTCTTATTCACCATGCACACAGGAGAAGCACAAGCTACAGCATCAGAGAGCTCTGGAAATCCCAGCTTGGCCTCTGACCAGCTGTCTGACCTGGGACAAGTCACCTCACTTCTCTAAGCCTTGGTGCCTTTATCTATAAAATAGGTACACTGTAGGGGCGCCTAGGTGTCTCAGTCAGTTAAGTGACTGCCTTTGGCTAGGATCATGATCCCAGTATCCTGGGATTGAGCCCCCGCGTCATTGGGCTCCCTACCCAGTGGGGAGCCTGCTTCTCCCTCTCCCTCAGCCTGCCACTCTCTCTGCTTGGGCTCGCTCTCTCTCTCTCTCTCTCCCTCTCTCCCTCTCTCTCTCTCCCTGTTGAATAAATAGATAAAATATTTTTTAAAAAATAAAATATATATACTGTATTCCTGCCTAAATGCATATGCTGAATCTGATCGTGAACAGATACGTGACAAACCCAGACCAAAGGACATTATACAAACTAACTGATCCATACTCTTCCAAAGTGTCAATGTCATGCAAGACAAAGGAGGAGCTGTTATAGATTAATGGAGGCTAAAACAATCTCATAAATGAGTATAAACATGATCTTGAATTTTTCTTCAGTTACCAAGGACATGATTGGGACAATTGGCAAAATCTGAATAAGGCCTGCAGATAAAACCTTATTAATGTGTCACTGTTAAGACATCATTAATGTATCAACACTAGTTTCCTGGGTTTGATAATTGTACTGTGGTTATGTAAGGGAATGTCCTCGTTTTTAGTAAACACACGCTGAAGGATTTAGGATAAAGAGGCATCATGTCTGCAACTTGCTCTCAGATTCAGGAGGGAAAAGGTACTTACAGAGAGGATGGAATAAATATGATAATGTATTAACATTTTTCCTATTCTTGCAAATTTTCCATGTCTGAAATTATGTCAAAATAAAAGTTAAAAAGAAATAAACTAGCATCAGTACTGGCTATCACACACGCAGATATGGCTCAAGGGTCACATGTGAGGGAATGGAAACATGACGAGAAGGAGGTGGTCAGTAAATATTTGACTTTTTAGGGAGGTGGAAAGGATTCTGTAACAAAGCTGTTTGTGGCATACTCTCATGTTTTGTGAGTCTGGGCCTACCAAAATATTAACAACTGTAGTTTTCTAGGTGGATTTGATTTCCTTCTATACGCCTATCTTTTTCATCAATGAATCTGCATTACTTATATAATTATACACACACTCACTCACACACACGCAAACACAGATCTAGGTGAAACCTGGTTAGCGGCCATCAGGGACCAGCCTGTGAGAGGCAGGAAGGACCAGTCAGACCTAATTTACTCTCAAAGATCATACACAGAGGTTCCTATAAAAAGCTGAAGTCTCTTCCCCACCCCCCTGCCGCCACCCCTGGGGTCCCTGCTCTGGCCCAGTGGTCAGGGGGTGGGAAAGGGAAGGTGTCACTCACACAGGAGCAGCAGATGAAGACCATGCAGAAGGCTTCCATGATGCCTGCGATGCCCACCACCCAAGTGAGTCGCAGGAAGAGGATGACACCAAAGATGTTCTGCAGGCACGGGAGGTACACGCCCATGAAGGTGCCCATGCGTGGGGCCTGCCAAGGACGCCAGCATCAGTTTCTGCAGCTCCTAATCACTATGAATGTCCCAGACCCACTCCTTCTCCCCGTTCTCCATCCCCATCCCTTCATCCCTCCTCCCTCTGGTTTTTACCCCCCTTCCCTCTCCCCCCTTCTCCTTCCATCTCTATCCCTCATCTCCCATCTCTTCCTCACCCTCAACCCCTAACTCCTATCCTTCTGCCTCCATCATCCAACCCTTCAACTAACACTCTTTTGTCTCCCCATCCTTCATCCCCTCTACCCCTCCTTCCTCCCTCATCCATTTTTCCCCAAGGCCGTCACCTGCACTGGCTTCTTTTTTCCACCCTCATTGTTTTCTGCCTCTTCATGCTCCCTACTTCCCTGGGGCAGGTTGGTGTAGTTGGCCAGGCCACTGAGCAGGGAGGACACCATGGGGCTGGTGTCCATCTCCTCCTGTGAGGGGAGGGTGGCAGTGATAAGACTCAAGGGCCTGGGGGAGGGCCAGGTGACTTACATGGTAGGAGGCAGGGAGGGATGGGGGCAAGGAAGGCAAACCACTGGGGCTGGGATGACATGGGGAAGGAGGAGGAAGAGGCATGGAAAACAGGGAAAGAAGATGGTGGGATAAGGCGAGGGAGTATCAGGGGTAATGGGAAGGAGAAGAAGGCGGACCTGAGGAGGAAGTGGAGAGAAGAACACTTCCTGAGGGAGGGATGGCAGATGAATGAGGAAATGAACTGGGGAAGGGGGAAGACCCCAGCAACCCACCTCAAACAGGGCCATGTTCTTGCCATCATACTCCCTTCCCTTCTCTGTGTCAGTGCTGTTGATGAAGGGGCTGCTCTCCTTGGGGTTGCCATCACCTGAGAAGGCAGAGGTTCCCATCAGGGGTCCAGCACCAACTGGTTCTCATCCCTGTGTCTGCGCATCCAGCTGTGTGGCCACTTTAACTCCCTGCACCTCAGTTTGCACATTGGAAAAACTGAGCTAGCCGCATTTTAGTTGACAACATGTATAAAGAGCCTAGTGCACTTCCTGGCACATACTAAGTTTTTAATGAACACATGAGTACTTCCTTGCTCTTGGGGGTCCTTCTTCATTCAGCAGGGCACTCCAGACTCTCCAGGTTCCCCTCATTGTCCATAACTGGGACCATGCTGGTGTTCTGGGGTGGAAGCATGCTCTCTCCCAGAGGCAAAGATAAAGAATACTACAGCCCAAGGCCCAAAGGATACTCCACCTCTTGGAGAAGTGACCCATTTGGCAACTCCTACGCAACTCATGCATCTTCAGTCAACACATATTTACTGAATCTCTCCCATGTGCCAGCATGGGCATGTGGAGGGAGGGAAGAGTAGACAAAGACTAAGTCACCACTTCTGCCCTCGGGGAACCCACAGGCAGGAGAGATTAACCAGTATTCAGGAATTTCCAACTGAGAGTGGTAAATTCTGTGACTGAAGATGAACTAGGGACTGTGGGAATACAAGAGAGGCATTCAGCCCAGCCTGGGAGGTCACGGAAGGCTTCCCAGAGGAAGTGACGAGTAGGCTGAGAACTGAAGGATGAGTAAGAGCTAGACCGGGAGGGAGACAGGAGGGTGTTCCAGGCAAAGAGAACAGCAGAACAGCATGTTCGCTGGCCCAGAGGGGAGAGTGAACAGAGTTGGTCAGAGATGCTGAAAGAAAGTCTGAGGAAGGGGCACAGAGGGAGGGGCTGAAAGGCGGAAAGTAACCTATGAAAAGATGAGCCTCAGAAGGTATGGGCTGGGTCCTTAAATGATTAGCAAAACATGTTAAAGATTTTGGCCTTCATCCAGAGGACAATGGGAAGTCATGAAGAGTTTCAGGCCAACAAGTGCCACGAACAGACTCGTGTTTTAGAGCAATCACTCTGGCCTTTAGATGAAGAACACAGATGCTAGTTCGAGACTTTCAGTAATCCGGGCAGGGGCTGATGATGACCCAGACCAGAGCAATGCAGGGTAATGGGCAGATTCAAGAATTACTGGCACATATTTCTATGCCAGATGTTTGCGGACGTGAGAAGGAAGAATCTGGGATAATGCCTGGGGTTTCTAGCATAGGTTAATGGGTGGGTGATGGTGCTATTTGATAAATGGGGGAAGAGAAGAGACGGGGTGGGGAAGATTCTGAATTTGATGGAGGGTAAGATAGAATAGGCCACTCAAGCAAATACAGCCAGAAGCTATACAGAGTCTGGGACCCAGGAGAGAGGCTGGGCAGAGAAAAGATAAGGGTAACCCAGGAGAATGTGTGGAGGAAGTGTATGAAACCGTGCATCTGAATGAGATCACCCAAGGAGAAAGGCTCTTGACCATCTAGGAGAGGTCCTTTCAAAGAGATAAGGGTACCCTCCCAGGCACTTGCCCGTGGCTTCAGCGGGCACCCTTTCCCAGTTCCAGGACTGAATCACAATAGTAGACATCTGGGATCCCTGGGTGGCGCAGCGGTTTGGCGCCTGCCTTTGGCCCAGGGCGCGATCCTGGAGACCCGGGATCGAATCCCACGTCGGGCTCCCAGTGCATGGAGCCTGCTTCTCCCTCTGCCTGTGTATCTGCTTCTCTCTCTCTCTCATTCTATGTGACTATCATAAATAAATAAAAATTTAAAAAAAAAACAATAGTAGACATCTCTCCAGACCCTGGGTAAACTCCCCAATAAATAAATCCCAAATGAAGTTGAGGCCCTATGTATTCCGAATTTCCTGTCCTTTCATCTCCTGCCGTGTTTCTCTCCATCCCCATCTTCCCAAAGCCTCCCCTATCCTTCTTTTCCCTAATTCCTAGAAGCTTGCCTTAGTCACCCAGCCAGGGTCCATCCCCAGAGCATGACCTGTTACAAATCCAATCTCATCCTGACTCAAAGTTGTGAAAGGGAAAGCGATGCCTCACCAGCTCAAGGGACACCCACCACCTTCTCCTGCCACCACCTCCACCTCATCCATCAAGCCGGAAACTCCTGATCCCCAAACAGGGGGGCATCATCACCTCTTTCTTCTCCACACATATGAGTTCCTGAAAATGGCAGACCTGTCCCCTCAGTGAGAACTAGCACATAATAGATGCTCAGGGGAAAAATGTCATTGGACATAAGTTCCCCCAGGCTCTCTTCCTGACCCCCGGGGTCTCAGAAGAGCTGTCTGGGGCCAGAGAACAGAAGAAATAAAAGAGAAGTGGGTTCCTCCTCCTTTTAAAATGCTGACAAGATGCTTCATATTCTCACCACACGGTGGTGGGAACCAAAGGGGTTGAGGGGAATAAGAACAAATTTCTTGATGATTAAGGGAAAGGGCTGGGATCAAGATTTAGGTTCTGGTCCCAGCTTCATTGGCTGTGTCGCCATGTTGGGCAAGTCACTTAAACTAAGCCTCAGTTTCCTCCTTTGCAAAGGGATAATAATTGTGCTTAGCTCCCAGGGCTGTCCTGGGGATTAGGGGAAATAATGCCTATTGGGTGTGCCTGGCACATAACCGTAACTATCGATGCTATTACAAGTACAGTTATTATTCATGTACTTGATGCCTTACTCAGCTCGGGCTCTCCATCCCATACTCCTCCCCAAGCGCCAAGATTTAGGGACCCTGTCCCCTGTGGGGCTGGGTCCCTCTCCCGGCGGCGTCCGCTCCGGGTCTCCGGGTAGAGCCCTTCCCCTCTACCTTTCACGCCCCCTCCCAAGCCCCTCCTCTTTCCCGGGGTCCCGGGGCGCGAGCGGGGCGGCAAGGGGGGCGTCCTGGCCCGAGACCCCGCTACTAGGCAGCCCCGCGCCGGTCTCCATGGCGACCGCGCGGGCCGAGAGCGCAGCGCCGAGCCGAGGCGGCCACGCGCCCGCAGCCGCTTATGTAACGCGACGCGCAGCGCGGAGCCAGGCTCCGGGCCGGATCCCAGCTAGGAGCTGAGGGCCGGGGAGAGGGCGGCTCGGCAGGCTCGTCCTGGGTCCCGCCCTTCCACCCGCCATCTGGACGGGCCGCCAAGGCCGCCAGCCTCGTCTGCCCGGGGCTGATTTTTGTCCCCTCCTTGGAACGGCGGTCCCGCTGGTTGCGGGGAGAGGGGCGAGCCTCAGGAGTTCTCAGAGGAGCTGGGGGACTCGCCCTGAATCCCCAGGGCCAGGACGCAGGCTGCTGGGTAGCGGCAAGAGGCGCGCGCGAGAGAGGCAGGGCCAGACTGAGGCTGAGCCCTCTCCGCCTGGCCCCCGCCCCCGCCCCCGCCCCCTGGGAGCTCTCAGCCCGAATCGGCTTTCAATTAAGCTGCGGCGGCCAGAGCTCCTGGGGAGGAAACAGGCTAACGGCTCGACCTAAGGAGCCTCCCCCGGGGGCCTGGGGCCAGGCCTGGGAGAATCCCCAAGCCAGATTGGGGGAGTGGGGGAGGGCCCCAGACCCCAAGGGGATAGGAGACTGGGGACCAGAGACAATATCCTTCGGTTCTTCTTTAGTCTAGAGGAGCCCCCTTACTTGTTGGGCTATTACCACCTCCCTGAGGTCAGTCCCCAGGTCCTCACCTACACTCCCAGGAACCTAAGATCAGAGATGGCAGAGGCTCTTGGCTATTCCCTCCAGCCCAGTGGCTTCTTAGAGCCCTCTATGACCACCTTTGGGCATCATGGGAGTCTTTCTCTTTCTGGGACCCCAAACACCTGACACAGGTCCTGGCCACTCTAGTCCCAGGTCCTGGACCCTACACAAAAAGAGAAGGTCTCCAGATGGGCCCTCTATACTCAGAGTCCAGAAACTATTGGAGAATGGGTAGAACAGAAGGGAGCTCCTAGTTGGATTCCCACTCATACACAGAGATGCCTCTTTCCTAGGCCTCCTGAGACCCCCATGGAAACCCCAAGACCCAGTAAGGCACAAACCTCAGAGTAGAGAAAGCAGAGGCTAGGGGATCATACCACACTCCGTGTCTGAGGGGAGCAGAGATTATCTCTCTCAGGCTGAGCAACTGTCCTCAGAGTGGAGGCATCTGAAGGAGATCCCATATGCCAATGACCCTCCCCATACACACACACACACACACACACACACACACACAAACACACACACACACACACAACTCATTCCCTGGGCACCGGCGGCATGCCTAAATCTGCCGCAGACTCGACTTTGCCAAACCCTCTTCCCCCATAGCCGTAGCCGAAGCCTGCTGGGGAGGGGGGCGGCTGCTGGATGAGGCAACCCCAGGGTCACTGGGACGATGGATGAACTAGCTGGCCAGCCTGTGGTTCCGACGCCTGTACACCACTCAACCTCAGGGACGAAAAGGGGGTCTCAGACAGAGCATTGGGGACCCTGGTGTCCACAGTCTTCCCAAGTGGCCACTTGGCTCTGACTTGGATCCAGGATCTGGAAGACTTTAAGTTTAGGCTCCCAGTCTTTCTAGAAGACCCGGTCTTTCGGTCCTTAGGGGTCTTTGGCTATCCCCCAGGGAAGTCTGCAGGAGTCTCAGCCCAGAGGGTCAAGCAATGCCCAGGGGAGCGTTTGAAGGCGCGGAGCGCAGACAGCTGGAGCAGGAGGCGCGCTAGTGCGCAAGGGACGCAGCGCCGCTGGAGGGTGGGGGGTGGGGGCGGCTGACAGCCGTGATGGATGGCTGAGACCGCTGGGGGGCGGCGGGGGGCCTGGGAGCCCGAGGGGGTGGCTGGCCCCGAAGACCTCGGAGCAGGGAAACCGTGGAGGAGGGCGGCGGAAAGCAGGAGCGGCGAAAGGACTTGCTTCAAGCCCCTGGGCTCCTAGGGAGTCTCCGCACCCACCGCAGCGCGTCCGCAGTGTCCGCTCCGCGGCGCCGGGGATTCAGCCGCCGGGACCCCCATTCCTGAGGCCTCACTGGGGAAGCGAGCAGAGCTGACTAGAAAGGCTCCCCCTTGCCCCGCCCTGGAAACCTCATTGCCATCCCAGGGCACCAGACGAAGGGAAAAGGGGGAAGAAAGGAGGGTGATCTTGCTTCCCGTCCTGAATAGGAACCCTTGGGCACGCGAGAGGGAGAGGGAGAGGGAGATTCCGCAAAGTAGAGCTGAAAAAAATCTCCGGAGGAGATGCTTCAGTCAGAGGTCGGACCTGGGGCAGCTTTGGGGGAGGGGGCCCGGATTGCACCAAGTGTCCCCTTAAGGAGACACTGCAGCCCGGACGGGGGCTGTCATATGTCTCCAACCCCCCATGGGCACCTTCCCCCCACCTTTCAGCTGGAAGTCTCAGAGCGAGGGACTGCAGCAGACTGCACCCCCCCACCCCCTCCCCGCGCCGCCGGTCAACGCTCTGCGCCAGGACGCCGGGGTCCCTTCTTGGGGAAAGGAACCCTCCTCCCGCCCGTCGAGGTCCACGTCAGCCCATTCTAGCTCTTCCATCCCCTTCCCACCGCCTCCCCCGCTTAGCTAACCCACGTCTGCCCCCGGGCTGTGGGCAATGCAACCCCTCGGCCCCCAGCCCTGCCCGGGGCGCGGCGCATTCCAGCACCTCGGACAGCGCCTGGCGCATTCCAATGGAGCCGGGCTCCAGGCCGCCTTGGGCGCCCACCGCCCCGGTCAGTCTCAGCCTCTTCTCTGAAGGAGGCGGCCCCCGCTCTGCCTCTAACCCTAGAGCTGCCTCCTCTCCTTGCCGCCCCCTCCCTCGCCGCCCCCGGGCCGCTGCTTACCGGGGTTGGCTCCCCCATCGCCGTCCTCGCAGTCCGTCAGGTTGTTTAGCATGGTGGCGGCGCGGCGCCGGGCCCGGGGATGGCTGCTCCGCCTCGCCCGCGCCCCTCTGCCCGCCTTCGCCGCTCTCGCTCGCTCTAGCTCTCTCTCGCTCTCCGCTCCACGGAGGAAGAAGCTGCAGTGCCCGCCCGCCCGGCGCACACACACTCGCACACGGACACACGCTCACACCCGCGCGCGCCCCCTCTCAGCGGCGGCGCTGCTCACCTCATCCCGTATGCAGGAGGCGTGAGCCACTGGCGGGGTTTTGGGGGGGAGCGCGAGAGGGAGGAAGAAGAGGAGACGAGGGGCGGGCTGAGCGCGGCTGGAGGCCCCCTCGCACGAAAACCGGGGGCTTGCACGGGTAGGATGAAGGGGATGCTGCGGGGGACGGGGGCCTCGCCTCCCACGAGCAGACGCAGCTCCGCCCGCCCCCCACTCCCCGGCACAGGCGGGGCCGGCACGTGGGCAGGTGCCATCCCGCGCCCTAAAAATAACGGCAGGGAACTAGGTCGCGGCCGCGGGGAGGCGGCCCCGCAGCGGCTGCCTGGCTGGGGGTCTGGGGTGACCCCTAGGGGGAAGGCGAGGAGTACTGAGGCGGCGGGGGTGGGGCGCCATGGAATATGGGTCCCTGGGGAGCCTGTCTGCAAAGCTGGGGAGGCCAGCCCTGAAGAGGAGCAGAGAACCAGGCCCTTTCCAAACCGCTGTTCAAAAGGTTGGAACTGGGGGCGCATGGGGGAGGGGGGGTTGAGGTTAGAGCCCTTAACTGAATCAATGTGCTGCCCCCAAGGGTTCAGGGTCACTGGGCTGAACTGTCTGTCTCATCTTGTCTTAAAATGGGAAGGGTGGAACCTGAGGAGTTGCAATGAACCCTCTCATTGTGCTTAGACTGAATCCTAGCATTTCACCCCCAAGACAAATTCCAGGAGTCCACAGACAGGGACCCTCTGACTGTAGAATGACCCTGGGAAGGAGATGTGGTGAGGAGAGTAGGCAGCAGTGAGATTCCAGGGATGGCTGACTCCCCACTGGGGATGGTGCAGCCTCAAGGGAGGGCAGGCCGGTAGGAGGCTGGCGGGGGACAGAGTGGGGGAGGGAGGAATGAGGCCGACTGTAGGTTTGGGACCAGATTTTCTCCTGGGGCGGGAGTGTCTAATCCCCTAATCCAGGATTGCTTTCTGAGGATTCCAGAGCCAGCCCGCTCTCTCCATTCCTCCCCCTCCACTGACACCAGTCCTCCAGAAGCTTGATTGTCCTGGGACCTCTCTGGGCCAACCCCTAGAATTTAGACTTAAGCCAGCAGTGGAGACATCTCAGGAAGCAGCATCAGAGGTATGGACACTGTGTGTCTCTGAAAGATCTAAACATCCAAGGGTGAGAGCAGATTAAGGGGAAATTATTTTCAGACTCACCCTAGCCCCCAGCACTGGCCCTCTAAGTTTCAGGAGAGTTCCAGGGCTGGAGAGGATCACATCAACCATCTTATCTAACAGATAACTTTCATCTTATAGATGAAAAAGCTAAGGCCCAAAGAGGAGAAATGACTGCCTATGGACACAATGCCAGCGAATGGCAGGATTTAGTCTAGAATCCAGTTTGCTTTATTCTAGTTTAGGACCCTTCCTCAACATAACTTCTTTAAAACATTGGTCTTGCCTCCAACAGAAGGGACAAGGATACAGTCAAACCAAACTGCTCAGCAATCTCTGATTCTTGGCTACCAAAAAGGGAACAGGGAAGGGTCTGAGATGAGCTCTCTCCCCTTTACTGGTGGCCAGGCTTCAGAGGTGCAGGACTGAAGGGGCCCCTCAGCTGGCAACTGGAAGTAGGCCCAGAAGATCTTCAAGGGTCCTAAAAAAAATCTGTCCACATGACTAGAGACCCCATTCTAGGACATGACTTTACAGGGCCATTGACAGGACCCACTGCTCAGAGTCCTTGCACATATTTGTCAGTGGCTTCGGATCAGGTCAATCACAGTCTTTGGCAGCTGACTGAAAGAGGTTCAGAGGGACCCACCACTAAGGTATCACTACCACCAGGGTTTATGGATGCTGGCAGGCCTCGTTAGGGTGGAGAGCTAGCTATTCAGACAAGGCGTAAGAATTGGTCTTCTTAGGGGGCCCTGGCTGACTTGGTTGAGCATCTGCTTTCAGCTCAGGTCATGGTCTCAGGGTCATGGTCTCAACCCCCACATCGGGCTCCCTGCTCAGCAGGGAATCTGCTTCTCCATCTCTCTCTGCCCACCCCTCCATTCATGCCTTCTCTCTCTCTCTCTCTTTCTCTCATTCTCTCTCATAAATAAATAAATAAATAAATAAATAAATAAATAAATAAATAATCTTTTAAAAATTGGTCTTCTTGGCTTTCCCAGGGAGAAAATCACCAAAAAGGTGAGATGAGTTTAGATTGGTGACAGAGGTTAAAAGGATAGCAGGTGGACAGACCAATACTCAAGAATTTCTAAGCTCTCCACTCCATATACACCCCACCATCACCGCCACAAGCCACAGCATTATGGTTTTCCACTACTCATAGAGACAGGTAACAGCAAAATGTGTAGCATGTTTGTCTGAGAAGTGCTGTAAAATAAATGCTGAGATTTTTTCAGCAACTTCAGATCTGGGATGTTCCCCTGGAGGTACTTCTATTCATTTGTGGTCCAGAGCCCTGGCCACACAGGGACTGAGCCCACCCACAGGAGGAACCTAGATCCCAAGCAAGTGCAGGTGAAGGCAGGAGTGACTCCTCTTCTCTGGGTGCTCCGTCTGCCTACCCTTATGGGAGTTCCTATCCCACAAGGCATCTGTAATTCAAGACATAGTGAACTTACCCTGTTCTCTGTCCCCAAACTGTGTGTATCCCTGGGAAAAATTAACTTCCTCTTTCTGGGCTTCAGTGTCTCCATCTGCAAAAGGCTTAGGTCACATACATCCAAGGAACTTCTTCTCACTCTGAGAGCCTTTAGTGCTCTCTCCATTTATTTCAGACTAAAGCCTTGGAGCCCTCCCTGAGGAGCCAAGACCAAGTAAGGAAACAGCCCCAGAGGGAGAGCCTATACCTTCAAGTAATGCTCCTACTTCTCAAGGAGAGTGGTCCTTACTCTGGCTTTTCAGGCCAACCCTCTGCAGTGAGGCTTTGAGAAAACACCATTGCAGGTACTACCTGCACTGCCAGCCTGGTCTCAGCCAGTAAGGTCACCAGTAAGGTGACCCTCAGCTCTGAGCCCCAGGAACATGGCTCAGCATCCTATCTCCACCCAGAGCACTAGGAAGATCGAGGGCTAGGGAAACTCTCTCATTCTATCAACACAAGATGCAGAGTTGGGAAGGGTTCTGTTTCTGAATTCTGAATGTCTAAAGTTCACTCTTCTCCCACCATGCATTTCACAGAGAGAAAAGGGTTTCAGGGAAGCTGCCTAAGTGTCAGGATGTGGGAACTGGAAGAGACTTTATAAATTATTTTTTGCCATCCCTCATTTATGGGAAAATTTAAGTCTAGAAATGAAAAGGTACAAATTTCTTCATGGGGTAAACTTGTGGCAGACTGGGGACTAGAATCCAGCTCCCTGACCTCCAGCCCAGGGCTCCAACCACTGACCCAGGATATAAGGCCATTTGGAGGAAGCTGGAGCCACCTGACTGGGTCTTCTTTCCATAGGAGGTAGACGTAGTGTTCCTCCTCATGGCTCAATCTCTACCCATCCTTATCTGCATATTATTACCCCCATGACCTAACCCACCCACCCCAGCTGTCCTCCTGGAGCCAAGGCCCTGAATTCCCTCTTTCACTCCTCTCCCAAACTACATGCCTGTCCTCCAGACCCAAAACCCTCACAGTGAATTGATGAGTCCAGCGCACAGCACACCCCACACACACAGGGCTCGCCGCAGAGCACGTCAACCACCATCATCTCCGTGGCAACCGGGGGCTTAATTAACAGGCTGCAGCCCTGTCACCATGGCAATGGCACCCCAACAGCCCCCCATTCCCCTACAGATTCAACCCATCTTTCTTCTTTCTCAATCTGGACCCCCTTCTCACTGCACCACCCCCCACCCCCACCCCACCTGGAAAGCTGGTGCCCACAGATCGCTCTGGTTCATTGAGAAGAGGGGAGGGGAGATGAGGGGGATGAGAGAGAGAGAGAGAGAGAGAGAGAGAGAGAGAGAGAGCAGCCCGTCACCATGGCAACTGCAGCCCCGTTCATAACCAGTTTGTTGCCATGGAGATTCCCGGGGCTCACCTTGGGCTGAGGTACTGGGCAGTGAGGTTCTGAGTCCCGGCTTGAAAAGGGGGTGATTGGAGAACAACCTGAACAGACTGGCGATCTCCAGATCAGATATTTATATGAATAACTCAGTGTCATTCTTCCCAATTTACAGATAGACAGAAACATGAGGTTTGAGTATGGGGGAGGCAGAGAACTTCACCCTTCTAGATCATCAAAGAATCTTAGCATCTTTATGGCTACAATGACCCTCAGATAGCTTCCTGTTCAACTCCTTTATACTACAGATGAGGAAACTGAGGCTCAGACAGTGGAAGCAACATGCCCAAGGCGACACCACAGAGCTTGAGCTAGAGCAGGGATGGGCTATCTTATGGTCTTGCTCCATCCCCCTAGCATAAGTCAGCTCCTTCTCATGCATGGGAACACATCTCAACTCCTGTTAGTCTTAACAGGCCCAGTGCCCTGTCTTGCTCCTTCAGAAACTGGGGGACAGTGAAAAGAGGTATAAAGAGATGTGGGAATAGCTCAGAGTTGTAACAACTGACCCCAGATCCACTTCTAACCAGCCAAATCATTATTAACTTCCCTATACTACAGGTTACGAAACTAAGGTATGGGGGCTGCAGCCCAGGATTAATGGTGGATTCAAGAATCAGCCTCTGACTTGCTTCTTTCACCCCCATCAGTTAGGTTCCCACTACAGCTGATCCCCTGGCAGCAGGAGGCACTTCCAAGGGCAAACTCCACCCCATTGGTCCAGAATTAAAGATAATGCTCATACACAAGTGACCTCCCAAACGTCTCCCAACCCTTCCCCATCCTCCACATGCTGTCATTTCTCCCCATGGGTCTGGGT